CAAGCTTGTCAACACTACGTTTTCGTGCACGCTGCACGCGCTTGCACGCTGCACGCGCTTGCACGCTGCACGCGCTTGCACGCTGGGAGAGCTGTATTTCTAACCTGAACGGGTCTGAGGAAGGACTGTTGCAACGTAGTCAGCATGTGTGGCTTCTGTTCGTTGTTCTAATAACTTGTGTGGTGCGACCGTTCGTTGTTCTAAATTCCGATTACGTAGTTCCAATAGCCCCCGTTTATATGAACCCATGCAACCCTCCGATAGAAACGACTGCGTTGTTGCGTATGAGCGACTGCCAGCTGTCAGGAGACAGTGAGCATACGCATCGTGCATCGTGTTAACATTGCCCCGCGAGAAAGATACATCTCGAAAGCCCACGATCGCGTAGTGAAAACATGTTCTGGTTGCATGAGCAATCGCTCAACACTTGTCTATGCCAAAGCGATGTGCTGGAGTAATACGTTGCCGAGGTAAAATCGCGTTAGCCACTCAATTTCCTGGCTGTCGAGATCTGAACATGATGGAGCCACCGCTGAGCCGTCTGCTGTCGGGGAAGCTGTGCCGCGTGCGAAGATCGACGGCACGGCGTCCGGCTTCAGCTTCGCGTACTTCGTCGAGAAGCCACAGTCAGCTAACACGCGCATATTTCGCTCGTAACATTCGGACAAGAAGTGATCGGAACAGATCAATATCCTGGCAGTTGGCGGCAAGGACTTCTCGGGGTCCCATAGGCACAGGGCGTCCGTCCAAAGTTTCCGCCGTTCAATGTCGCCAGGAAACCTGTGGAAGAGAGGACTCCTGGGCTGTTTAGCTGGTGGTTCGGGCATCCAGCGACACAACAATGTGAGCCTCTGCCTTTGCGCTTTCTGCCAGCCATTGCAAAGGCACACCAGGAACAAATCTACGCGCCTCTTGCCTAAATAAAACACGAAGCAACGAAAGATAACACGGCACAACCAGCACAACGGCAAAGACGCAACCGGAGCCTCCGCGTTTGCTCGCAGATCACGTGGACACCGCCTCCGAGGTAGAGTAGGTGGAGTCACAATAGTTGGTTGAGTCAGAGGGCAGAGTGACCGCCGGAGGCGGCGAGCGTTGCGCCGCCTGTGGGATCTGTACCTCGAAACGAAAAAACAAAGAAAACAGCTGCGCATGCTATAGACGTCACTGACGGTGGAAGCGGCGGAAGCAGATCGGCGGAAGTGCAGTGTTGGCTGCGCCGCACGTTCCCGCTATAGTTAGCTGATATTGTTATTTTCGCGCTTGTACAACTTTTTTAGACGGAATTCAATTCCAGTATTTGACTTGTAGCCTTTCTAGATTATACTGAATAGAATTACATTGTTTTCTCAGTAGCAAAAATTGAGCGGAGTTGCCCTTTAAAGGGATACTTCAACGAAATTTGAAATATATCCGTCGTGTTCAAAAATAGGTTGAATATGATCCATAATATCTAGGGGTGTGCGAATATTTGCTATTTTCGAATAACGAATCGAATGTTACCCTATTCGATTCGTTAATCGAATCGAATAATATTCCACAAAAGTTTCGAATATTTTTCAAATAAGTTCCAAATAGTCGTTACGGTGTCGCGCCCCGAGATTCCCTTCACAGGCGTCCCACAACGCGCCGGCACGCCTGAAATATGTGCCCGCAAGATGGCAATACGTACCCTCTTCTCCTAGACAACGATTGTCATCATCGGCAGCAGCCGTCCCTCTCCGTACGTACGTTGCTGTTGCCTCCATTAGGGACCACTGTGTTAGGTATAACCCGCATGTAAGCGATTTGCCGAGAGACGAGACAGGCGACGTTGACCCGCTTCGCTGTCGTTCAATCAGTCGCGCGATGAGGCAAGCCGCATGAAAGTGGCGTGAGCAAGTGACCAAGGCGATGAGGACGTTTTCTAGAAATCCAAACACCGAGCGACGCGACGAGCGACAGTGAGAAATCTCTGTCGCTTGCTGCTGACCCTCGTCGTCGCTGTCGCTCGTCTTGTCGCTCGCTAAATCGCTTACATGCGGTTCAGCATTTAGGAACAACTTTCGCTCGAGATTGCTCATGCACTCTTTTGGAAAGCGTGTGGTGGAGACGTTTCAGAACTAGTTGCAACGGTACCGCCGTTCTGTGTAAGCGAAGTAGAAGTGGTAGAAGCAGGAAGTTGTTCGAAGAGAAAGCGCACTAGAGTGGGGAAGTTTTTCGGCTGCTCCCATGCAATCAATTCAATAAGCCACAAGAGCTGCTTGTGTCGAGTCTTTCCCAACACTTTCCATGGTTGTTCCACTTGTTCAGTGTGTGAAGATGTTGCTTTTTGAGGGCGCAAGTAGATCAAGACAATGCGTTTTTCCCAGAATCTTCTCAGATCAGTGAAAATAAGGTTATGATTATAATGCAATTAAATGCAAAGGTGCAAGCGAGCTGGACAGTAATGATGAAAATAATCCCTGGAGAAAGGGAACAACAGGGACAAAGGACAAACACAAATCTCCAAACACAGCTAGGTGACTGGTGCGCGACCGCACCAGTCACCTAGCTGTGTTTGGAGATTTGTGTTTGTCCCTCTTGTTCCCCTTCTCCAGGGATTATTTTCATCAAAATAAGGTTCCTTGACGTTAGCGCACAGGCACATCACGCCCTTACACATTCCTTGATCCTCAATTCAAGGACATCTGCTACAAAAAGGAATAAAAAGATACTGTCGAGTTCCTATCATGGACAATGCTTCAGGATCTACCAGGCTCAAGCGAGCTGTGATTTTATGTTCAGCATCCGCGTGAACCGTGATAGTATGTATAGCATTCTAATATTTTATTAGCTTTTGTCTTTATTTAAATATATATATAGGTAGTTGAACTCTAGTTATTATTGTCTAGCTGCGATTTTACAATAATTTTAAGAAACGTATTGGAACAATAAAAATCAATTTATAGTCTCTTTGCTCTACTTTAATAGCTGTCTACTTACTATTCGGAAACTATTAGAAAAGTATTCGATTCGGTCCCACAATTATTCGATTCGTGTTCGATTCGGTTTCAAAAATCACTATTCGCACACCCCTAATAATATCCGTAAATGACAATCACACGTTTGTATTTTGAGCCTGGTGGCTGCATTTTTTGTTATAAACGGCCCACTCTAGCAAGCGCTCTGAGAAGGCCCAGCTTAGAGCATGTGACATCCAACGCAATCGTGGCGTAGGTCGTCTCGGGACGAGCGAAGCTACGGCGAGGCTGACGTCGAGGGGATGGCCTAGTCGTTCCAGCCACCGAAGCGGCTGCTTTTGTACGAATTTTGAGTGGCGGGTTAATCTTTTATAATCTTGTAGGAGGACAATAGCTACTTCAGGCAACACACAAAAGGGATTCTCAGGAAGACGGGAGTTCCTCCTTCCCCTCTTCTCTCGTCGTGGCTGGAGGCGAGACACTCACCGTCACTAGCTGTCAAGGTTCCTAGACGGGCATTACAAACGAGGCGTTAGCGACATCCACCAGGTGCTCTTCGCTAATCGTCTAATTGGTTTTAAAATTCTTTTTCGTGACTTTTTTTAACAAGATATTGGTGTGTTCGATGTGATACTGCTTCTTTGAACACATATAGACCATAAAATAAGTGCCGAAATTTCGTTGTAGTATCCCTTTAAAGGGATGGTGAACCGAAATCTGGATTTCAAAAAACAATGCAGAAGATGTAGGCGGGACGCTACAATCCCTACAACACTACTCGTAAGACGATATCTCAAATGGACGGCCGTATTTTTGGAAAAAGAGGTCGAGAATGAACCAGGCCGACGAGGCACGTGACGCCAAGATACCTTGTTTCCTCCTCTCTTCGTTTCGCTCCCTCAAGGTGGCGAGGCGGAGATGACGCGAGGCCGTTCCCTCTCCTTCTCGGAGAAACATGACGTCAACATTTCTGCCAAATGCACCTTCTTTTCTGAAAAATACGGTCATCCGTTCGAGATATCGCTGTGTGAGTGATGTTTTGGTGTTTGTAGCATCCCGTTGCACGCCTTTGCCGCGTGTTTTGGAGAATCCAGATTTCGGTTCAGCATCCTTTAAAGGGATACAAGGCAAGCCGCATGAGGCAATGAAGCAGTTGCATGCAATCAGAAACTGCTCTTGGATTGGGGACTTTGCACAAAGTGCATTTGCTCTCAGCAGCAAAGCAGACTACACATATTGTAAGGGTTCCTGCTTGCACACTTTGTGTACCATCATGCCACTGAAGAAAAGTCTACTCACAGATGAGGAAGAGTTGCTTTGAAAACGCCATCTTGCTGCAGCAGCTTGTAATTGGTGGGCTAAAGGAGGTGAACAATGGCGGGGCCAACTGTGGTATGGAATTTCCCGCCTCCTGCTGACTAGTCCTTCAGCTGGGAAAGCTGCTGGCTGGTAAAGATCCTTGTTCTACGTGTGACTAAGGCCTACGGTAGTGTCTGGTTCTTCCTCTGCCACCAGAACATGGTGTCCGAAGTAAGATCAGCGCCGAAAATCAAAAACCGCTATCCGAACCGAAGGTTTCTGAGGCACCCGGAGTAGCAATTCTGCTCTAGAGGATGTGCTGACTGCTGCTCTCTTCCTGTGGGATACGTCGACACACCGTAGTGACCATTAACGAGGGAGCACGTCTTTAGATATGCCTCTATTTTGACCTTGATATGGGGCATGCATCTAAAGACTCGCGACACTTTCTTCAGATGTAGGTGAGTGTGGTGTAAAACACTTGCCAATTTTTGATAGAGGTTATAAGTGCTGCCATCTATTGAACACAATACCAAACACATTGAGGTTCATTTGCATTCGCTGGCCGGCGAAATAACTTCATTGCTGTGGTAGGAAGTATGTTTTTCTTGTAGTTCTGGATCATGCATGCTTTGAAGCGGCACAAAGTTTTTACAGACATGGAAATCACGGCATCGTCTTAGAAGAAAGACGGATATTTCCTATCGGAGCAATAAAATTATTTCGCCACGCCAGTGACTTTGGCTCTGCTCGATGCAGACCTGGGGAAGATGGCCCTGCCTCCATGCCACTGCCTGGCACAGTTCTACGTGTACGAGGATGAGCTCTCCTGCCAGTTGTACCAGCGCTCTGCTGACATGGTGAGTAAGGTGTTCATCTAGTTAGAGGGAACAGTGGTATGTAAAGATACGTTGCCGTGATCGGATTCATCCGTATTTGGTTCAGGATTGACGTCAGTTTATCCCAGAGATCCAGGGAGTCAGTGAGCGGAGAAAAAAAATGTCGCCTTCCGCAACGGCAACAAGCCCTTTTGTTGCTCGTGAAACTGCTCGGCCATTGTGTTAGGCAGGGATTTTCATGCGTCTTGATCTTCAGTTATGCTTGGTCAGAAGGATAAATGAAATGACCTCCCTACTAGTGTTTTCTGAAAAGAGAACAGTTAATCGTGTCACAAGTTATGCTAATGAATTTACAAAGACTTGGGAAAAAGCTAGGAGTGCCTGAATTATGGAAATACATTATTATATGACTCGACCACGTTTGCGATCTGCTTGAAGCGAGAGAAACTCGTTGCACAACGGTAGCATACATTTGACCAAAATGAGGAATTTCCACCAACATTGTACAAAAACTTTATTTCCCTTTAATAATCCTGAAAATAAGTATCTCAGACCTTGTTACCCAGCCGGATTGTTATGATATGCTTCTGCAGGTTTTCAGAACTTTCGATACCCGCCCCAAATAACATGCTATTCGATTTGATTTCGCATCAAACACTGGCAGCACTCGGAAGTTTTGCAATAATTCTCATGTTCATGGTTCTGGCGGGTTAGTTATGGCGAATTCGGGTGGTCAATCGCCGGCGAGACCGGGCTGGCGGAACCGGCAACCAAAAACGCGCCGCGGCACACCACGTCACCCTCAGCACCCAAACACGAAACGCCATACGGTGGCAGTTTACTTTGCCTCTTGCCCGCACGGCACCGCTAGCAAGACGCTGTCGCCGCCGTCATTCATGTCCCAACGGCTTGGATTGACTTGATTAGTGGCTGCTGAAGTGACTTCAGATCAGTTTCGTTCTTTCATTTATTTTTTTCTCACTGACCTCTCTCATTTCGGAAGTGACGACACCGGATACAGTCTGGCGCCTGCTCGCCCGGCCATTTGAAGCTCGGGTGGAAAAGGCACCAGAAAGTTGCCGGTGCTTGTTGGAGAACCACCACCCGAACGCTGCGCGCTGGCCGGAAGCTGCCCACGCTAACACTATTGCCGGTTTCCTGGCAAAATAAGTTGCCGTCGACTGACCACCTGAATTCGCCATTAGTATCGTTGAGTGTGCTTCTCATTGCACACTGATGAACTGCAGTGAAGCGACAACCGCAAAGTAGTCATCGCGATTTTGCATGTCTTGCTTTGACGCAGCACACCCGCTTGCTCAGGGGAAAGCACTCTTTGATAGCTAGACGTTGCACAATTTCTGAATAAAATTTCGGCTTGTATGCACCTCTCTCATGTTTTAGAATCTATTAAAATGCACATCTAAGCATATAATCTTCACAGCCCAACACGTACGGGCTCATGTCTTTCGAAAGCAAGGAAAACGCGTGCCGTACGCACAAACTATGAAGATGGAGCCAGCCTGAAGCTCTTTATTGGAATGGTTTGGACGCTATATTTGAATGCGCTGTTTGTAGCAGATGCTCAGAACGAGCTTACATTAATAAGCTACTAAGACCGGTAATCTTGATGGTTTGGAAGGCACGCTGCAAAAGAACTGGATGCTTGCCATCAGCATGCGCTCAGCAGTTGTGCAGAGCTATGACTGCCAGTGAATGCTCCCTTTACACCAACACGCAGCACTGACGTAACATTGCTGCGGTGGCACTGCGACTGGCAGGGAGCATGCGTAGACGCTCCATTTGATGCGAGTGTGGTTCCTGCACACGCACAGTGCACATGCAGTGGCCACACCTCGTGTGGAAACTGCGCGTGTGCCCGCACCTTGTGAGGGCTTGTTTGGAAACAGCGCGTTGGCCTACAGATAGACTGCGATATTCTGGTGGCATCTTTTTTTCAATTCGAGATTTCGTAAAAATACTTCGGTATTGGAATTATATTTATATGGACTCTTCTGTAGGATTATGTTTATGCTTTGTTTTTGTCCGAATTAAGACTTGCAGTTTTATTACAACCTCTAGCATTTGAAGAAAACAAATTTATGTGCTTACAATAGACTCTTCCGAAATTCAGCCTGGCCATTTCGATAACTATCATCACCTAAGTGTATATCATCTGTACATGCTGATGGCTGCCATTTGATAGCTGATGAAGGAAGAATTTGAAGGTAGGCACCCATCCGGAGCCTGAACATTCCAGATGTTTGTTGGCTGAATTGTTTTATGTCAGCGAGACGAGACTTATATACTTCTGTGCGCTACACATTTGAGAGTGTCACGTCAAATTATGGAATGCTCGGCTTTGGCACACTCCAGACTGCTCATGACAATAAAATATGGTGAATATTATTAAGAGGTGTACTCAAGTAAGCTCCTCGTGCAGAGTGGTAGTTTCTTGACACCATTAAAACTTAAGCAAAAAAAATATTTAAAAGAACTGTACAGCGAAGAACATTGTAACTCTCGTATGTCTGCCGTTGACAAATAGGTACCAAAATTTAACCGCCATTAGCATACAAAATTTTAGACTGATATTTGAGCTGCTAGGTGCCATCCAATTTCTGAAAGGGTCTATTATTGTATTCTAACATTATTTCAGTGGAATTTCTTACCTAAAATAAGCATTCACGGCACTTTGTGCTGTGTTTCATCGGTCATCTTGTTATTGTGTCGTATGTCGGGTGCTTCTACACGTAACTAAGCGGTTAGTTTTGTGTTTGAGGGAATCTCTCCTGCTGTGCAATCGATGCTAACAAAAGGTTACATTTAACTGAGAAGGCAAAGTAGACATTGCATTTAGTTGGACAGGCCAACGCACGAATCTTAATATAATATTTGCAGTGATACGAATTAAAATGAAGTGTGTGCTTATGCTCTAAAGGTTCTTTTTCTGCTCCAAACTGGACTTTCGACTGTTCCAAGGGCTGCTCCAAAATGAGTCGGACCAATCACGTCACTGCATTTAGAAATTTGGATGATTGTTATGACCCCGGGGGTACCCTACACTAGCCCCAGTGTCCTAAGAACTCATTGTGTGGGTCTATGGTCTATACATTCTAGAAGTCTGCATGCCTCTCCCTACCCACTCTAAAGCCACGGGTGCATTGCTAATACATCGTACAAAAGACAGGCAGCAGACACTGTCCTAGACACACTTCTTTCTTGCATCTTAAAAACTTATTTTTTAGGCTTTACAAGTTTGTCTTAAAAAGATTGAGGTACACCCAAGCATTCCTATGAGTTGTGAATGTGAAAGCATGCAAGCCGCTCGTCCGCTTCCTTTTTCGTCTGCTGCGTACTTTTCGTCGCCGATCGGCACGTGTGCTTCCCTGGTGACCTTGGACGCTCCGCGCTGATGGACACGCAGCAGCATGGGGTGAGCGGTTGTGGAAACTGGCGAACGCAGCGGCTAGTGGGAGCCCCGTCGACGCGCGCCAGCCAATGGAATCGAAGGAAACTATCTGCCATTTTCGCGCTTCAGACTGATGACGTCAGCTCGCTCCATGAGACAGTTAATGCTTTCACTTTAAAAAACTGAAAGCTACTCTAATGCGGTCGGGTGAGTTATATAGCCAGGGGTACATCATATAGTGTGCTAATTGTCATGATAAGTCGGTTAAATAGCTAAAATTTGTTAATTAAGTATTATTGAGGAAAAAAAAAACACAGCGAAATGAAGTGTGCACTTATGCTCACAGCATATGTGTGTACTTTGAGTTGGAGCAAGCGCAAACTCAAAATTTGGAGGTAATCGTGTAGAACTGGGAGATGGGCTGTCCTTAGGTCAACAACATGTAAAGAAAGACATGTCGACTTAAAACGAAAGAAACACACAAGAGGACGAAACAAACGACACAGCTTTCGACTTGCAACTACAGATTTACTGGGGCGGCTCGCCGCTCAGAGCTCGACTTGGGGAGGCGATGGGGAAAGGGAGGGGGGGATGAGGGGAGGTGTAAGAAACACAGGGAGACCGCTGCGGGGGCGAACACAGCGGGCGGTCTGGAGTCTGGTCCACGGCGTGGTCTGGTCCGTGTCGCCTCTCGTAGATGACACCTCGCGTCGCTTCGTGCCGTCGGGGGCGCGACGGAGAGTGGGGGAAGGGGGGGGTCATCGGAATTCCTCGGGGAAGGCGGAATTTCTCGGGGAAGACACCTCCCCTCATCCCCCTCCCCCCTTTCCCCATCGCCTCCCCAAGTCGAGTTCTGAGTGGCGAGCCGCCCCAGTAAATCTGTAGTTGTAAGTCGAAAGCTGTGTCGTCTGTTTCGTCCTCTTGTGTGTTTCTTTCGTTTTAAGGCAGTGTAGATTACCAACATGCTCAAGTCTATAATAAAGACATGTCATTTGCATATTATCCGAATGTTACAGAATTGAGGGGTGGGCGCTTATTGTGGAATGGGTGGGGGCTTCGGTATTTTACGGCGTAGTTACAATTACAAACTTCCCGAGTGTCATGGAAAACCACTAAACAAGTAAATTTGAGACATATGGGACATACGGGAAGGTCGGTGTTATGCTAAAGTTGCCACTCACGCAAAGGACGCAGGGACAGTTATGCGAAAACACGGGCGATAAGAGACGGAAAACCCGCGCGGGAGGGTTTTCGCACCCGCAGTCTCGTGCCCGTTGCAGGAGCGGTAACTTTAGCCACCCCCGTGCTTCCAACAGGCTCCTTTTTCCTTCGTCAAATTTACTTATTTAGGGGTTTTCGATGATACAGGCATACATTTATTTTTACTGATTGAAACGTTAATGAACAAATTTTAGGTAATTGTTTCACTTGTCGCAATGATCAGTCCCCTCTGTTGTGTCCACCTGACCGTATAACTAACCCGCGCAGGTTGCATTAGTGATAGGTTCTGGGGCTTTTTTTAAAACAAATCTGTAAGGGCCTAAAAAAGAACACCCCATATACGCACGAAACAAACACGCTTCGAATGTGCACCATGTCAGCAGTCCGCAGGCGATTCTGTCGTCACGTCTGCGCCTTTTGTGCGACGTACAAGCAGCATGACTGCAGCTTTAGGAGGCGCACCTTTACTTTCGCCGCTCTGGGAAACTGTCCTTCCCATGTACGAAATTTCTCCGCTCCCTGCGGGAGTGACAATGGCGCCCTCTCTCGCAACACCCCAGGGCCTGGGCGTGCCTTTCAACATTGCCAGCTACGCCCTCCTGACCCACATGGTGGCCAAGGTGACCGGGAAACGGCCCGGGGACTTTGTGCACACCCTGGGGGACGCCCACATCTACCTCAACCACGTGGACGCTGTGAAACAACAGGCGAGGCTTCTTGGGCGTCAATCGTGCCCGTTGCACGGTCAACGCATTTCTTGAGCTTTCCTTGGGCAGTCGTCGTAGGGTGCGACTCCCAGGGTGCTACCTAGAGCCACTAATCGGGCCATGCTTCGGTGAACCGTCTCTAAGATAAGCCACGCTTGAACGTATGGTTTCTTTTAGAGCGGTGGTTCTCAACCACCAATGTTTTGAAAACCCCTTCTGGTTCAGCAGGGGTAATGGGGAACCCCATCCACTAGCGGGAGGGAGGGATATTGGACGATTACAATGACGAATGGGTAAATAAGGAAACTAAATGCATGCAAACAAACTTTGAAGCTCTGAAACAGGGAGTAATCAACCGTTTCTGACTCTTCACACACGGTTTAGTCTTTTAGCTTTGTGGGACAGCCAGCACCAGTAATAAAAAAAGTTTTATTGCTCAGCTCGCCCAAAGGGAGAGGGCTTCGGGGAATCGCGAGAAGTCCTTTTGCGAAGACTTTGGCCATGGTCCTCGTTGCGAAGACCATGATCCCATTGGGTCGTGCAGCGTTTTCTCTTGTGCAGGTCGGTTTCGCACAACATGCACCCCCGTCGGACTTCCCTCCTGATGAACCATTGCCCCATGGTTTCCTTTGCTTATAGACAGTGTCTTACAGTCCATTCTAGTTCCTTTGCATCGTGATTCGCTCTGCATAGTCGGAGTACTAGTCGGTGGCAAAAGGGAGCAGAAGCGGAAATTCAATTTTCACAGATACCCTTTGGCCATTACCTAAAGTTAGAAAGCACTGAATTAAAAAATGTGAAAACTTGTTTTAAAGTGTTTGGACAGAATGTGTATGTCACAGAATAAAATTTCCCCAAAAAAGGAAAACAAATGGCCACCATATTTGCTCCGTAATGTCCCGAGAGATAGCCCGAGAGATAGCCGAGAGATAGCGAGAGATAGCCAATCAAAAGCATATCGGGGTAAAATAAGGGGTGGGCTAACTTTTGGTGTGGGATCAAAAAGAGTTGAAAATATGCTAGTTTTAGATTCTGTGACCTGCGAAACTTGTAATCGCAGGGAGGGGCGACGAACCAAGACGACTGTCCTTCCCAGTCAGCAATGTTCGATTATATCCCGCTGTGCTTAAGTGACAGCATTTCTACTGAGGTCACCATTGGCTAGGGCTCTGGAATTACTAAAAAGGGACTATCTTTCCACGTTTAAAAAAAGAATAGCAAATCACACCGAAAATAGGGGCAGGTTATATTTCGGGGGGTGGGGCATCTCTCGAGATATTTCGGTAGTAATGTGGAGGGTTGAGCTAGTTAGTACGATAGCATCGTATTAAAACAGCACATCAGCAGAGAGGGAGAGCTTTCTGTGTTCTTTTCTCTTCCTCTCCACTTGTGCACCGTTTTAATGCGAGATTCATTCCGAGTCTTCCCAAGTGCTTCTATTTGGTGCGTATACTTTGGGACGACGTCCATTCGCTTCCATCGGTCAGTATTATACCACCAGAAGATTGACTGCATCGATTGTCAGCCAGACTGAATAGAGATTTTAACGTTGTTTGCGACTTTTTCTTTCTCGCAGTTGGAGAGGGAGCCACGGCCGTTTCCCAAGCTGCACATCAAGCGGGACGTTAAGGACATCTTCGACTTCCGCTTTGAAGATTTTGAGATTGTCGACTACCATCCGCACCCTGCCATCAAGATGGAGATGTCCGTCTGAAGTGTCCAGCCCTGAACCGTGCGTGCATTCTCCACCGGCTTGATTTCCGTCTGCCCCTGCATTTAGTTTTGCGTTGCATTTGCATTGTCATTTCAATCTGTGTTTCGTTGCATTTATTTTGCTACCATTAAAGCTGCCGTGCAAGTTTTGAGTGGCAACCCTACTGCAACTCCTGCTTTTTTTTTGCAATTACTGGATCTGAACATGCTAGTTATTTTAGTGCTTGTACACATACAGCTGAATGTTTGCTCCGTGATGAGTGTCCACTTCTCCCATTTGTAAGTGTAAAGCAAGTCTTATGGCTCGCTAAATACGTTAGTGAGAAGAGTAATTTTGCTCGACATTAAAGTGGAATTTTTACACAACTTGGAAGCGACTGGGATTCAAATTTTTTGTTTTGGCTTACTAATGTTTAGAATAATCTCATGTTCATGCATGAAACCAGCAGCAAAAAATATGCAACAGGTTTAGCAAAAAAAAAAAGAACAATTATAAAACTAAATTTTTTTTTTTTATTCATGAACACGAGCCTATTTTAAACATTGATGCGTACACAATGTGATGCACTCAAAATGTGGTGTCTTTGAAAAACCCTTCTTTTGAAAACCAACAGAGGTAGGATTATTTCTTGTTGCAAAACTTATTCTTGCTGAGATTATGTATTGAAGATTAGGCCATTGTCGCTTTTGAATGGGTCATAACAGCACAAAGAAACCCATATGCTTCATTATGACAATGCTTGTATCAAACTTTCAATGAAAAAAAAAATTAAAACATTGATTTAGAAAGTTTTGTTCTTGAATGATTTTCGTAACTCTCCAAAGCAAAGATGCCAGCATGGACACCTGTGCTCTTTGCTGTCAAAGTGTCAATAGACCATTTTCGGAAATCATTGGTTCAGGAAGTTCTTACACGAAAATATGTGAGCATGTGCACTCCTCTCGACCAAGGAAGCTAGATCCTGCTGGCTCCAATGAGCTGCACTGATAGATTGGGACCCCCCATGGTCTCTTTGGGGCCGCATATCTTTGCCCCCGAATTTCGTCCTCTAAGACACTTCTCTCTCCTAAGAGCCTGGCACAGCCCTGCCCACTGCCCTCTTGGGCCCGCTATCCATTTCAGACAGCCGGTCCCGTCCGGCCCGGCTGTTCCCGGCACTAATTTCCACGGGCCCTTGCCTGGCATAACAAGCTCACTTGCCGCTGCTACACATGTCGATACAGTATGCAATAGTCAATGCAGAAAGAATCTTTTGTTTTGTTGTTGTTAATTTGTTTTGTTCTGTTTTGTTGTTGTTAATCTTTTTTTTTGACCAAAAGTCAAATTAAAAGATGCATGTGAAATTTGTAATATCCAGCACTTTAGATGAGGTGGGCTGACATTTTTGTAATGAGCCGTCGCACGGCAATGGCAGTTTTCGTTTCCCGTGTCTCAACATGTGGTCTCTCTTTCGCCCTCTTTGCAATTTGGTGTGCGCTTAGAAATTTATAAACTGGCTTTTTCGCCGACGCGCGCAGCCGATTGCACTCGTCGGCGCAGCCAACCGCGGCCAGCCGACCTGCTGATATGCGCTCTCGGTTGAATTAACCGATATTTTATATTTCAAGATCGAAATAACGAGTTTTTTTGCTATAAAAATGTATGGACTTTTTTTGGGACTTTTGAACAGGGCCCGATTACATGACAAGTCAAATTAACTGAGATTGAATTAACGCGAGTCGACCGTATTCGGACCATTCTGCAGGCCTCGCCCTCATGGTCTTTCCTAGCGCTGAACCAGTGCATCGAAAGAACAGAAAAAAAAATGGCGAGCAACGGGAGACAAAATGTGCAAGAGATGAAAAGGAAGGGAAGCGTCTGGACAGGTTCGGACAAAGGACAAAAAATGTTCTAAACTGCCCCACTCTTACTTTGCACAACCGAAAAAAAGTGACCGAAAGAATGCTGCCGTCTTTTGCGGTGATCTGCAAGAGATTGGTTAGGAAAAAGAGTCTCAGAAAACCACTTTGATGGAAGCGACATCTCTTCACCCATATTGTGGATGCACGTGTTCGCACATAAGGATGGTTTATGCCTGCGAGGGTATGTATTGTGATGGTGACAAGAGACTAGACAGCGACAAAAAGGAATGCTGCGCTGCTCGTGCTCTGGAAGAGCAGCCAATGCACACTCAACTGAAAAAAAAAAAAAAAAAATTACCTGCAGAGATGAAATTACAATTGGTGCATAGGCAAGCGGTGGAAGTTTACCACGATTTTAACTCAAGAAGGGTAGAAGGAAATATTTTTACAGTGGATGAGAAAGTAAAAGGGACAGACAGCGTCTCTACTACACTGTCTATAGAGACGCTGCATGTCCCGTTTTCTTCCACTTTAAAAAAATTTCCTGCCCCAGTCTGGGGTTAAAATCATTGTGATAAACACGCAGATGCTTTTAGAATCTGGATCTCCTCCGTTGCATTGTCTCCCCCAACCCCCCCCCCAAAGAAGAGGTCTTGGCCGACTCAGTTGCTTGGCCTGCCTTGAAGATTCGAATGTAACTGTGAAGCCTGAGCCTGGCCCGTACTTGTACAGACCTCTACCGAGTGGTGCCACTTATTTCTAAAATGGTCGACGTTTACGACCCAATGGTTGCACAATGCCCACAAGTGGCGTGTGTATGAACTCGCCCTCAATATTGTTTATTCTGTCCTCTTTCTCTTACCGGAATTTTTCTGCCCTTTCCTATTAGCACTACACTGTACACTCTTGTGTCCCGGCATCTTGCAGAGGAAGCAGACGACACCTGTCGACCCACACGAATGACCCTGGGGCAAACAACTTTGGCACCGGGGACAGTGCACGTGTGACAGTTTAACGCAGACGCCACACTCGTCGCAATGTCTATAAGGTCCCCCGTCCTTGGATGTGCAGTCTTTGCAGATGTCGCAGTGCGTATTTGAAAGTGCGACCCACCGGTCGCAGTCGTAGCAGTACCTGTACCGATCCGACGGAAGTTTCACCTGACCCGGCGGAATATCCGTGAAAATCCGCACGGGGGAACCTTTGGTCCGACCGGATTCGTTGAAGGTCACATGGTTGCGATAGTCTACCGCAAAGTCCAGCATCCGTAAAGATGGCATGGCTTCGACAATCCGCTTTTCATTGAAGTACGGGAAGAACCAGAATATGCTTAAAGCGGACCCCACAGCTGCGGCATCCGAAACCATCTTTGCAAGGGTCCTCACAATGGCGTCAACGAGGCCACCGAAAGGGGGATCTATGAGTAGGGCGCATCTGGTTCCCGAGCTTAGATGTCTCTGAACAGTCTTTTCGGCCGAGCTTCCTCGAAAAAAGAAACCGTTGAACATATTGAACCAGCCAAACTCGCTCGGACCATAGAACTGTTCGTAGGTCTGCTCTATGTCCAACAGGATGCTGGGTAGCTGGGGACAGCTCTCGCGAAGGTGCTCGTGGATAGTGGGCGCCCCCAGGCAAATGACGGATTCGAAGTGTTGCTGCTCGAGAAGACTGCAGAGGAAAGCGACGCATGCATCGCTAAAGAAGTACTGCGCTTTAGTGGTGTTGGTGACGTCGGCGTTGATGAGTCGAGTGGGCCGACGCAGGTCGTCGTCTTCGACGGGAGTGGTGACCGCATGACCCCGATGAGCGCCAAGCTCGGTCCTGGCCAGCAGCTTACGACAACAGAAGAATCGTTCGGAGGGTGGGCGCTTGGAGACGCTTCGAAGCTTCTGGTAGAGCTGGTCGTGAGAGGAAGTTGGTACGACTTCTTTGCGAATGTGATCCCAGGTTTTGGAGTCTGGAAGAGGTCGTGACAGGAGGTCGTCTTTCCAGACGAAGAGGGCGCAGTCCTTGCGCTTCCTGCAGCCGGAGCAAGCGTAAAAGGGCCGGCCGCTGTTCTTCCCGGCCGTACCGATGCGCCTGAACAATAGAGCTGGGCCGTGCTTACAGAACGGAACCTCCGTGGAGTCGTCTTCAAGGAGCTCTACGGTGTTTGTTGAATGGTGCATAGTCGACACACACAGGTAATATGGCTTGTCAAGACTCAAGAGTGTCATCAAAAATCGCACACAAACAGCCGACCACACGCGTGAGCGTGTCGTCGGCTTAGGCTGGCTTGCAAGCTGCCTCGAGTCAATAATGCTCGAGTGCAGTTAATAATATAAAACAAACATTATATCATGTGTAGTCTATCGTAATAAATGTGATCAAGCGAAATTTTTGTATAACTAATCTTAATTTTTGTTTAGTTTGTACCAACGTTACGTTTCTACACAACAGTAGTCTCCCGTTGAAGTACTTGATAGCTTCTAGATGGCGCAAGCTAATACCTTATTCAATTAAAGGATTCACAATACTGAATCTAAATAAAGCTGTAAAACAAGTGAGCAACGAGCAGCCTCCAGCCGCTGCCGCTGCTTTAGCAGTTTTAGCCACTGGCCCACTGGCTTTAGCAAAGCAAGCTGATTCTGCGCTCGACCGAAACTACCGAGACATAGCGGGGGGCTCTCTACTAGGATGGAGTTCTTCGGGCTGGACAAAATTAGGAAGGTTCTCGAAATCGTTCGGCACAATGGGGGTGTAATGCACTCGTTTTGGAAGAGTTTCAGGTACGAACTGAACTCGCCATCAAGTCGCGCACTGAAGGTCAACGCGATCTGAGGATATCCATTCGTTTACAAAAGCTACGATTGATATGCACGATTAAGAAAATATTCGATAGTTTTGTCTGCATAAAGTGCTGCTAAAAGGGGCAGTCGATGTTACCGAACCATTTATACGATGGCTCCGAGTTGAAGGGGTTCGAGTCGGTCACAGCTATGTTACAAAACGAGGGCCCCACTTTCCAGGATGGACGATCTGCGGATGGGAACTCTGGTAGGCACGGACAAGGTAGGAAACAAGTACTACGAAAACAACCGATTTTTCTACGGTAAGTCATTCCACTTCCTACACGCTTTGTTTCTGTATGTATTTATTTCATTTATGGTGCGCACTTCCTACGTGATGTTGATTTGGCAGGTCGTAACCGGTGGGTCGAGTACGCCGACCACTACAACTTCGACTATGACGGCAGTCAAGTTCCCGCCGAATGGTGAGCCGAACGACTGGCATGCCGATGACTTGCGTCTATACCTGCGGTACTGTGTGCGTGGATTACGTATGAGCTAGCAGGACAAGCTAATGTCCCTGAATAAGAAAGGTAGCGACATATTCTCCCTCCTCCTCTGACGCGAACACCTTTTATCTTTGTACCTTGCTCTTTTACACCCACGCGTCGATTGTAGTGCCGCCTGGATCGCTCCAAGATATCAGACGGCCTTCCTATTGGGCAGGAGATCGAACTATAGGGGGCGCTCAGACCCGTTTGTTTTCCCCACGCTCGGTGTTTACTCAACACAAGGCCTGTGCACATGCCAACAGGCCTTATGGGCATGGCCATGTCATCTTCTACAATAGAGCGCGGGGCACAGTTTAATGTAAAAAATACTAACAATCGACGAAGCGACGTTAAGTGCCGGATCTATCCTCAGAGAATGCAAGCTTGACCCACTTCGGCTTTTGTGCTGAGCTGGGATCGTGCATGCTGCATTGTTCATGCAGGCCGTTGTGGAAACAAAAGAGCCCCTCCTCGCCCTCGCCGGAGAGCACGAACTCCAGCCGAACGCTGACGCCGCGTTCGGTTATGTCGGCCGAGCGCTGCGTCATTGTATTTGTTGTCCCCATCCGTGTAGTTGATAAGTTAACCGCTTGGGGCGTCACGGTCTGTCCTCCTCCCCAATAGTTGAGTCAGAGCACAGTCAAAGGCTGAGAGACACGCAAAATACATACACACAGGTTCAAAAACGCACTGTCACGGTCTACCAGCCTCGAAGAATGTGCTCAAAGAAAGATGATCAGAGCCGTGACGTTACACAGTCGGCGTTATTTGATTGGCGAGATGAGCTCATAGCATGCACTGCATTCCGACAGCATAGGCATTCCTTCTCCCTCCTCCTCCCTTATGCACACTTTTATTGTTATATTTTGCTCTTTCGCGCTCGCGTAGGGAGGCTCTAGTGAGGGTGGGCGCAACTCAAAACCTGGAGATGGCGGCGCCTGAGAGAGAGGATTCGGGAAAGGATATGCGCCAATGTTGCCTGCACGAGAGCAGACGCCCGCTCTGTTGCAACACTGTTGCTCCATGCGCCTTTTCTCGCCTCCCATTGCAAGTAACGAACGCCTTGGCGCAGCCTCTCTCGCTTCCTTCTCGCTCTGAGAATTGCAGACGTCGAGAGGAGAAAGCAGGGTTGCCAGACAAGCAGCAACGTCCAAGATGGCGAAATTTACTTTGTTTCGTGTTAAAAAAAAATACTTAACCTATCGCAACAAAACTGGTGGCTAAGGAAAAGTAATCATTTATACATGGTGTAAATTATTCAAGTACCTTAATGGGCTCTTATGACATGAGTTAGGAAATAAAACGACCCTTTGCCCCATAGACTCCCAGCAAAATTTAGCAATTAAATGGCGTCCATGTCTCGTGATCCCCGATCTAGCAGTTGCACCCACCCTCACTTGAGCCTCCCTATGCTCGCGCGTCGACGGTAGCGCCGCCTGGATCGCTCCAAGATAGCAGGCGCCATTCTTCAAAGGATGTCGCTACTTTTTCGTATACAGGGGCTTTAGGACAAGCTGCTCCCACAAAGATCTGTGCTCGTCGCGATTGGTGTACTCGCGTCTCCTCTAGCGGGGATTGTGAGGAGCTTGTCTTTCTACTCTCAACGTGCAACAGACTATACTTGCCTTGCACTGACATCACATCATCCATTTCGCACCACCACGGAAAAGTGAGAGGGGAAAGCTGCTCTTGTATGAATTTCAAGTGTCGTTTAATCTTTACAGTCTTCTAGAGGGCAAGTCTGGGCACACAAAAGAGTTCCGTTATGAGGGGAGTTCCTCCTTTCCCTCTTCTCTGCTGGTGGCTCGAGAGCTGACGGGATGACGTCAGGTGCAAGGCATGTATACATGGCTTGCATTGACGTCACATCAGCTGCCATCGCTCCGTACCATGCTCCTATGCCCATAACCTCAGCAGCATGCATTTGGCACCATTGAATTTGTTCTTTTCGGCGAGGCTTGCCGAGAAGGTACGGGCACAGGATCATGGTGCCATATGAAATCACGTGCAAGGCATGTAATGTAAGTTTATCCACCATTTTGTTGTTATGAGTCGTCTGGCATGTGCTGAAGGCAAGTATTCTAAGGATTCACACGACACCCTCAAACATGTGGTGCACAGAAGCTTATTTGGAGCACAAGTTCATCTGCTTCTTGGATAAGGGTTGCGATCATGTCAGAACGCCGGGCTCTTATTAACTGATTGAAAAAAATAGTGGATAGACCTCAAGGCATCTAGCTTTGAGGTCTAGCCACTGTCCTTTCAATCAAAGCCAATCACTGGCTCGGTGTCATTCTGACATCACCGTAACTCCCGCGCAAAAAGTAGACGACTTGCTCTCCACGTATGTTTCATCATGCTGACATTGGAAGCCATGCATGTGGAGAAATAAAAAATGTCTCAACAACAAAAACTATAAACAAAATGTTGGATTAATGTCACATGAAAGCACCCTATACATGCCTTGCATGCGACATCCCGCTAGGGAAGGACAGGGCCCCGCGCCATGCTGGTGGTTAACTTCACACTGCGCTCTTGTACATACCAAGGTGTAGGATGCCGCTAACTGCCCAGACGTGCGCTGGTGTGCACCATATTTTTAATTAAAGTTCCTATAGCTTTTGACGTGCGAAATTTTGAAAAAAAAAAAAAAAACATACTGAGCTTACGATGACGACGTTCAGCTAATACGCAGAAATTTTCGGCGTTGGTTGCTATTGTGTTGATTGTACTACTCAAGGGTCGCCGCCGACTGATCACCGCCTACGCGGGCTGCCGGGCTTGCGGCACGACAGCTCGCCCATACTTAGTAAGGGAGCCCCGAAGGTGTGCTCAGTGTGAAAACTGCTTAATCAAGTGAAAGGCAAAACGCATCCACATCACGAACGGGCAAAGCCGATGCAAGTGCTTTCACAAACATAAATGTTGGAGAAGCGTTGCCACTTGCCCCTACAAAATGCGTCCCACAATCTCAGCTGCGGCGGCATCCCTTCCCTGCCACATGCGTCGCCACATGCCTTCAGGGTATTATGGATCTTCGGATAACACATTCTGTTGTTCACGGTGATCGTCGATGTTAGCATATTTGGTCCTTCCTCTTCCGTAGGAATAATAAAGATGATTATTATTATTATTATTACTATTATTATTATAGCTCAATATCGGGCTTTCTTTTCCTTTGCTTAACAAGCGAGCGCCTCTTCTAAAGGGACATCGAACAGAGTGTGTGCATAGTCGAGACACTGCTCCCATCTCCACAGGCACAGGTGGCTGCACTACAGCACGGACGACCCCCCGACCAAGGTGCCCCCCGTTGCCTACAAGTGGTTGGCCGAGCACACCGAGAACATGACCGGCACCAACCAGGCCTACGTACCGTACAGCACCGTGAGGCCCAAGATCCAGCCATGGGTGCCTCCGGCACCCAAGAAGTGACGGGGCGTGGCGAGAGTCCGCACGGCACACTGCAGGTCTTCGTTGGAAGTAGTTTAATGGGGGCATTTTGTACATAAGGTAGCGGATCTAATAAAATGCCATCACCGAATTGCATGTTGTACCATAGGATGCCACCGGGAATAGAAACCGGAGATTCTCGAATTTTGCATCTCGAGGGATCCCCCCCCTCTATCTTTCTGGATCGACAGTCGAGAAACCCTTTCTGGCCTTGGCATTAATGCGATTCGGCAGCATGGAGGCCTTTGTACTGGCTCATTCCAGGGAGTGCTTGGCTCATGGTTATGTACGAGTGAGTGACCTATTGTGCCTTGCCGAGAATTTGAATTCTCTTCGCATTCCAGCTGGTGGAATTTTTTGGGGGGATATAGTCGATAATAATAAGGCTTCATTCAGAGTTTTGGCTGTTGGAGCAATATCTCCAGTTCCCTCAAAGCACACATTCAAAAACTTTGTATTTAATTCAGATGAGGTCTGAAATGTCCGAATATAATTCGTGGCTGAAAGTCTGGTATACATACACTTCGCTTACGCATCATTTCTGGTTTCCAGAATTTCAGCATACCACCAGAACGTCGTACGACCACGCCGATTAGCGAAAAAACTACGACCACCAACCTAATACCACGTTGATTCATCTTTGGCACGCACAACAGTAGCGACTTATCTTGGCATGGATTCCACAAGTCCTTTGCTAGTGCCTCAGGTACGATAGTATGAGATTGGTAAGCACAGTTTATGCAATTTCTGTAGATTACAAGGAGGTGGTTTGCAAGCTCCGAGCTGGCGCCCCATTACGTCTCGGATGTGCTCAATAGGACCAATATTTGACGAGTTAGGTGGCCGAGACGTCAACTGGAATTCAACATGGTGCTCTTCAGTCCCCTGTAGCACAATTCTCGTCTAGTGACATGCGAGTGTTTTGTTCTGTGCATAGGTTATACACATGCCAAGGCAAGACTGAGTATAATCAGTGTTGTGTAAAGGACATCTAAATTACAGGAGGATGCTTAAGCTTTGCCTTTAAGAGGGGAATGAGACAGCTAAACGTATAAACCCCCTGTTCATTCTCGAGCCATGTATGCGTGGCCTAGTCTGTAGCATTTCTGGCACGCGACCGAAGGTTCGTAGGTTCGAATCCCGCCTCTGCCTAAAATTCTTAAAATTTCTTCTTTAAGGCAAATTAATTACTTTAGGAAGTGAAATCATTTCAGACGTCCGGCGACTTTTGATTCCCATTACGTCATGGTTTAATCACTCATTCCATGCGTGATGTCACATTCCATGCGAGCTTTGTGGGTTGCTTCAAATTCTAGCACGAGGTCATGTGGCTGTGGTGTCATGACCCTATCGACTAATCAGGATTCTCCCTCCCACTGACAGTGACGCTGGATTTTCTACGACACGAGCTCCTCAATGCTATTGCATTAAAAGTACTTGAAGTAAAATACAAAGTACATGAGAATATATACTTCAAATAAAGTACTATAAATACAATGTATTTTAAAGTACAAGTACTTTTTTTAATACAATCCTTCATGCTGCCCTTTCATTCCTCTATACAGGGGGAGGGGGGTTTACTGGTATGGTTTGGGGGTAATAGGGGGCACATTGTTATTGGCAGAAATGACAGCAAAAAATGACCGCATCTCCACGTGGTGAATGATTTTGATTGGGGCGAAGCTCTGGTGGTGCTGATGATACCGCTTTTTTGTTCATAGGTGCTGATGGTGCTGATTTTTTTTTTTTATTGCTCATAGGTAGTGCTGAGTTTCGGGTTGCGTTTTGACTTAATTATTACTGCTTTATGGTCGGTGAAATGCAGAGCCAGTGGTTCTTCTAGCGGATCAGCTTGGATCCGCTAGAAGCTGTGGGAACGCATCTTCACCGCTTAAGGGGCGACACTGCCCAGAAGAAAAAAAATTTCTGCAAAAAAAGTTGATTTCGAAAAATGACATATTTACATCCACCAACATCTAGAGAGTATTCCCAAAAAGTTTAATTAATTTACACTATATAGTTAATTCTTTATAAGTTATTTTCTGTCCACCAAAGCTAAAGAAAAGGTAGGGTTTGGAGCACTTTGAACACATTTTTCTCTGTTCCACTTTTTAACATAAATTCCATTTTAGACAATCTATCGTTTGATAATGGCAAAACAGGGAAGGCTCATTCTTCCCTTTTTCTGACTGAAATTTAATATGGAATGCGGCTATGGAACTTCTTTGTCAGTTTACAGATGTATTTTATAAAAAATGTTGACATTTGTCAAAGACACAGAAGACCAAAAAGTTTACCAATTTTGCAGTAGAGACAATTTATAGAAATAAACGACTTTTTAAAAAAGCGTTCCATAGCCGCACCCTCTAGGCATTCTGCTACATATCCAGCAAATAAAAATCTTGAATATTGTGAGTTTCCAAATGATAGATTAACTAAACAATGTAAGTGTGTTGCTGATAGAAGCTACTCTAATTTACTTCTCATTTGACCGACAGACTTGAAATTTCGTTGTACACCCCTTAGCATGACAACCAGCCTACCCTGTAAATTTCATTAATTTTAAGACAAGGGTTTAAAAGTTGACCCCCCTAGGGGGTGTGTCCCCCTAAGTCAACGGTCCATGTCAGAAAGAGAATGTGTGGTATGAAACGTGGTTATATACACATTTGACTGCAGTGCCCTCTCGTCTATAAACGTTGAGCCAATGCATGCAAAGTTTAACGCGATTATATACACATTTGATTGCAGCGCCCTCTCTTGTATAGACGTTGAGCGGCTACATGCAACGTTTCATCCACGACATCCGCAGCTCTTGAGTTACTACCACATCTCAGAGCCCCCTACTCGTCCCGCAGTCGTAGCAGGAGTGGTTAAGGCGATGGACTAGAAATCCAGAGTGGTCTCCCTGCACAGGTTCGAATCCTGTCGACTGCGCAAACAATTTTTCTTTTTATGTGAGCATGGGCGCCGGCCAGCTGGACGGACGAACAAGGCTAGACCCTAAGGAGCTTTGCCCCTAATATTGGACAAAGTCAAATGGCCACAGAGGAATAGTTCTCAGAAGTGCCGCCGAATTTAGAAATCGCTCATACTTGTGAGTTTGGCGCCGCTTGCACTGGATTGTACCCAAGGGTGTTAAACTTGTTAGAAAAGAGCCCGACATCTACCCATAGCTTCTGCAAGCAAACCTCTCGTGGAGTGTTCTCTCCTAATATTTGTAACCTCCTCGCTTGCACTGACCAAGCGAGAAGTAGCAAGAGTTTGAAAGGCTTGGAGGAAGCTGCCCGCAGTACAAACAAAGCAATGTGCCATCTGCGCACGTTTCTGGTGAAAGTAGAATATCCCTCCCAGAATTTCTTCAGGGTTCACAAAGCATCATTTCGTGATAGAAATTTAACAAAACCAAATTTGTGGAATGTACTTTGAACTCGGGATTTGTACTTTCCTCGAAAAGTACCAGAAGAAAATACTCTAAGTATAAGTTTTCTAAACCTACTTGAAGTGCCTTTTAACACAGAGTATAATGCTATGCAAAATAAAGCTATTTTACTTGGGTTGCATTTCACAAAGCTAGAATTGATTCCTGCAACTTTTATACCCTTCCATACAAAACAAGTGCTAGGCTGTTGCATATCGCATAGACCCATCAGACATATTTCTAGCACAGTGAACTCCTACAGAACCAGCACAATGGGCCTTTAAGAGCTCAGAAATAAAATACTGAAGCAATGGAAGGTCCACTATTTCCATAAAATAAAATTGAACTGTCTGAATGCACAGATCCAATTCAACGAAAAGACTTCTGTAATCTAATATTACTATACCTCACTTCAGCTGAAGTCCAGATGCAGCCGACGCTACAAGCTAATGGGACAAATCGAGCAGAGTCAAAAGTGCAAGTCACTATGCCTTTTCTGTTTCCGATTGGTTCAGCAATGACAACATGTACAGCAGCACGACACCAGGATTCTATGTTTTTGATGCTGTCCGATGGGTCCCATCTGCTTGTAGCATCAGCTGCATCTGGACTTTGGGCAAAACCAAGTATAGAGTTCTTTTTAGGACTTCAGTTCCCCCACTGGGGTCTTGATGTTTTTCATAAACTGGTGTTATTATTGCCAGTGCCACTCCCAAGATGTTTTTTTTTTTGCTTACTAATGAGAAACAAGCTTTACACTTTTACTAGAACAATGCTTGTGAGGCGAGTATTAGACTGCAGCAGGCTGGAGGTCACGTGGAGCCAAGAATCTCTGAAGCCCTTTTGCCACCTTGCCATTCATCTTGGGAACAAAGTTTCAGATTACTCTATTGAATGGAAATTAAGCTGTATATGCAATATTTACTAGAATTCACTGACCCCAGAGCTTAGAGAACTAAATTTGCATCACCAGGCATCCAGTAGGTTTGCTCCGAGTACAACTCTTCTGTTCAGTGCAAAGCATTTAGACATGCTAAACTTCAGGCAAAGTTTCATGGTTTTACCCTGTTGGACTTTGCATCAACATTACATTAAGTGGTGATTAGCAATATTACTTGTCAAAAAAATAAACTATAGGAAAATAAAAAAGGTGAGAGCTTTTACATGCACAAAACTAAAGCAGCCATCTTTATTAACATTATGTACAAGTTATAGAACACTTCTGTACAAAACAGCGCACTGCAGATCACACCTGCTAGTCACAAATGTTTTAAGGGTCAAATCACAGTGTGTCTCGGTCGGGTAAATAAACATTAGTCAGATTGTGAAAGAATACATGGATTCGTTGTGCGCACATTTCTGCACAAGGCACTGGACTGAAGGCTGTATGCTACTACGGGACTCGTCTGATCAGCAAATGTGGCGACAATAAATATCCACAAACAACTGCACACTTTTGGTGACAGCATCGACGCCTCTCGGAGGTACCCGTCGTCTGCAAAGAATAAAGGGGACTGTGTGATTCTGCATCCTTCCTCAAGCTTCTCGCCCACGAGCCGAAAGCTAGTTTCGGCAAGTTTAGCACCGTACGTCTCCAGGAATGATCAGAACTGCATTCGTAGACATGTCACGCCTGAGCTATCCAAGAAATGCGTGTGCTGTGTGCAGTTAGTACACAATACAAGAGGCGGGCAGGTGTATCAGCATGTGTTGGACATGGAGGGAACAATACTACTAAGGCACATTTTAAAAGTCCGGTTTTGATCTTCGGTTATAAAATTATGGCTCTATCATGACAGCTTTGACTTAGGCACACATTGGTTCACATTAATGTAGTGGGGTGGGAACAGTCAATGTCAGAAGGCACACACAGATTTAGGCACAAAAGTACACCCCTTGTTGCATTACCGTCATGATGCGACTAAAAACTCGATAATACCACAACATTTAATTACAAATACAGCAAGTGACAACATTTGAACACATATGAAGGAGAAACATTGATTTGAGGAAGGTTGAAAAAAAAAATGATAATGGAGTAGCCAGCTACATTTTAGAATGGCCCACATCTCCATTTATTTTATATATCGAAGGGGGGGAACTGGTCAAAGTATCCCAAGTCACTATCCTCCCTAAATTTAGACTAAATTTAGCACATAAGTCTTTCTAAAAATACTTAGTTTTTGGAAGACTGGAACATCGCCATGGCTAATTTTCATCGGTTACATGAAACTGCAGCTTAATTGATAGCAATGCTTGAGTCACAAAGCTTCCTTGGAAAAGAGCCTGGCTTAAAATTTGGAAGCCACCCCTTGAGAACCCTACCTCCCTTTGTATATGCTAGCGCAGTGTCAACACAATCTCGCAAGTCTACTTGAACAGCGAGCTAAAACAGTGGCCTTTAAAATGTCTATGTGCACAGAAAACAGTTGCCACGTCGCTTGCACTGTTGGTCATCCCATTGCACAGGCAATACCGAGGTTCTTTCTGGACCTTGGGTAAAACCTATAAAATATTCTACTCCCCGAGCCACTAAGAAACCTGCATAGAGTTACTTTTCATTTGGCATCTCTAGTTACTGCCTCGATTAAAAACAACCACACAAACCAGCCTTGTGTGGGACTGATCACCAACTAGCCCTTATGAAAGGAGCACCGTCTGATGCAATGGTTTCATGACCGGCACATACCACAGATGGCCGGAGTCTCGTGAACAAGCAGGGAACGCCAAGGCCAGTTGCAAGCTTACACTGAACTCGTGCTCCTTCCCAGTGTAGCCAGTCTATCGGAAGAGCTGTTTCCGTGAGCTTATGGCAACGTGTGCACCGCACAGCCATTAAAAGGTGGTATTAGGTGCCAACAAGACAACACAGAGGGCGGTCCCCAAGAGCGCTCACTCAGAGCTCACGCTCAGCCCAGAGCCAGGGAGAGCCATCTCGTACTTGTCCTTGGCACGCAGCAGAGGTCGCCGGTTGGTGTGGCCCAGGTTCTGGCTGGCCGTGATGACCAAGCAGTTTGAGAGGGTTGAGTCTTCGCTCAGGCTGCGGTCCTGCTGCCGTACCTCGACCCCCTCCAGGGCCAACTCCACGTCCCCCAGCAGGGGCCTCCGCTGGGGGTCACAGGCCCAACACTGCTCCATCAGGCGCCAGCAGTCCTCCTCAAACTGGGGCAGGCGCTCTGGGCGAGCCCCTGCAGGGACAACGGTCTGTTGAGGATCGGCCTCTCCGGAAACTTCTTTCAAGACCCATCTTTGCCCAGCATGTCCCTTCAACTCCAATCTCTGTCCTGCCATGTCCCATCAAAGCCAATCTTTGTGCAAACATGTCCCATTAAGGTTAATCTTTGTGCTAACATGTCCCATCAAGGCCAATCTTTGTGCTAACATGTCCCTTCAAAGCCCATCTTTGTCGTAAGATCTACTGTACCCCTCTTTGTCGTAACATATCTTTCAAGGCCCCTCTTTATCCTTATATGTCCGTTCAAGATGAATCTTTGTTCCAACACAGTGACGCAACCTGCATTGGACCTTTTGTAGCAGGATTTGTACCAGGCAAAATATTGGTTTGGAGCAGTGACCAACATTTTTCGAGCAGGCGCCAACACTTCTTGGCCCACCATTTTAACATAAAAATGTGATTGCATCGCTAAATGAGGTCATATCTGATAATGATTGAGAGTTAGTTTTTGATACTGAAGCATATCACTTGAACTTTTGCAGTAAAAACAAATACCGTAGAATATCGTGCATCCGCCCCATTCCACATTAAGCGCCCATTACCAAATTTGTAAGATCTGAAGAAATACGCACAGTACATTTATACATAAAAATGATGACCGGACAAGCGCCCATCCCCCATTTTTTTGCAATTATCTCCCAAGTTTGAGCGGGCGCTTGCCCGGTATTTTACGGTACGACACAAAAAACTTGCAGCCTTCTTTAGAAACGAGGCTCAGATCAGTGGGTTCAATTAAAATAAGTATTTAAGAAAGACGTTGAAAAATAAGGCCTAGAAGAACACTTAAGTTGAGATAAAGCTTCTCTCTTCCTCCCTCTTTTACATTTGGGAGGAATTTAGCCTATAAATATAATTCCCGTAAAATTCCGGAAAAAATCGGCATATCTGCTGAAACGACTGACTCAAAGGTTACCCCAAGACCAAAATCTTTGAGAACTCTGGTTCTAGGCAGTGTTGAGTAAAATGCATCTAAAACTACTTGAAGTCAAGCACAAAGTAAATGAGAGGTTATGTACTTCAAGTAAAGAAGTACACTGGGTGCGATGTACTTTAAGTACTACCTATACATGCAATACTTTCAAAGCAAAACACAAGTACTTTTAACATAATCTTTCATGATTACCTTTCATACCCCTATACAGTTTTATATTTACCGTAAAATACCGAGCATTCGCCCATTCCACACTAAGCGCCCATCCCTAAATGTTACATCTGAAAAATATGCGCAGTACAAATATAGATAAAATTTGTGACCCATCAAACGCCCATCTTCACTTTCTTGCGATTATCTCCAAATTTTGAGTGGGTGCTTGATCGGTACTTTACAATATATTTTTAACTGGTATGCATCGTCCCAAGGGTAATCAGAAAAGCATCAATTATTTTCGGACATGGAGGCAATATTGGATAAAGTCAAGTGACCACAGTAGTTGTTTTACTCTCGCTGACAAACTATTTAATACAATCAACTTGTAATGCACTTATTTATATTGGTCTTATAGCTACCATTACTTCACTTTGAGCAATGACCAAATAATATCTAGAAAGACAATGGCTTGCTTTAACATGACGATACACCATTTTTTCGTTAGAGATTGGTGAACTCTTGTACTTGCCCTCTCAGTATTTCTTTAGAGTTCAGAAGGCATAATTTTCTGATACGAATTTAACAAGACTGAATTCAGAGAATGTACTTTGAAGTCTGGAGTTGTACATTTCACGGAAGGTTGCAGAAAAAACACTTGAAGTAAAGTACAAGTACATACTCTGAGAATGTACTTCAAGTAAAGGGTAGAGTTTTCTAAACTGACACAAGTAGGACTTTAAGTACAATGTACTTAAAGTACTTCCCAACACTGGTTCTAAGGCAGAGGTTTTCCTACTCTACAACCAAAAGGAACACCCACCGTATTCACACAATTGAAAGTCGAACCATTTTTAAATTTTTGAAAATCTGAACTGGGGGGGGGGGGGGGGGGCAACCTATAATCAGAACCAAAGCATCCCACAATTGACAAAGATGAAAAAATTGCGATATCAAGAACACTTCAGCTGTTTTAGGAGTTCAGTCGGCTGTACCTGTAGCTTGTCGCAATCTTTGCACTCTTTTTACAAGTTCTATTTTAATTTTTTTTATCTGCGCAAACAAGTGTCACGATCACGGTGATTGCGATTCACAAATCAGCCTGAATGTACGGCGGTGAGAGGCGCGCCCGAGTTTCGGGGGTGGTGGCACCCGACGTAAAAGCCGTTAGAACAGCCTCACTCCACGCTGCTTGCCGCACGAAAAATGGTAGCACATCATTTGATCAAATGTCGAGATTGTGCGACCGGGCTGACCGGGAAAAAGCACTTTTTACACCTCCACTGTAAAAAAGTGCTTTTTCAAGCAACTTTAAGTTCCTGTAAAAGAATTTAAATTTTAAGGTCGGGAAATGTAGCACCAAAGTATTACTTAGTTCTCTTATTATCTTTCCAATAAAGCCATTCCGAAGTCAATCCATTCCGTGGCTGCTGAGAAAGAAAACGAAAAAGTTGCCACTGGAATTGCATAGGGCTCGGGAGCTGCGATATCCTCTTAATGGAAAAATGCTCGATTTAAGGGGGTCGGACGGTTGAGAATATTTAGGAGCCCAGGAAATTCGTAAGCGCACTTGGGGTTCTCCGAGCACCCAAATTCTCTCGATCACCCCTCCTCAAGGGGTAGTATTTTCCCAGTTGAAGCAGCATGTTAGGATTTCTGAGGCAAGCATTTATGAGCTGAATGCACCCTAGTGTTTGCCCTATTGCAGTAGGCTCAATAATTCGAACTCCTGAAAGCCACTAATTTTGTGGCTTTCACCTAAGCACTTCTTATGAGTGGTGATTGCGAAAGCAGGCACGTAATTCTTCCGCTCCTTTATTTCGTCTGCAGCGTATTCGCGTTGATGGCAGAGCGTGCCCTCTCCTCGCAGCTCCAACCTTGGACGTTTCGTGTTAGCAGCACGCGGACGGATACGCAGGACCATGGGGTGGCGGTCATTGAAACTGACGTGCAGTGGCCAATCAAAAGAAAATCAAATTTGGGGGTTTTAAAGTTGGGGCTTGGGCGAGTTGGTACGTACTTCGGAATTAAGAACAGCGCGGAAAGACGAGGACCAGACAAAGAAGTGACACGGACGTAGCGCTGTGCCAAACCAACGACGGACATGTCGCACGCACCAGCGGAGGACTGAGGATTAATTTTGACCACCTGGGGATCTTTTGACGTGCAACTGAAAGCTCGATTCCCACGGCGCTTTCTCTGCAATAAGCCTCCGTCAGATTGCGGGCACCTCGGCCGGGATTTTAACCCGCCACAAAGGATCCGTACGCCGGCGCTCTCGGCTTGGAGTCACCGAGGCAGCTCACGCAGCGCCCAATGGGAGCCTCGTCAACGCGTGCCAACCAATAAGACTGAAGCCGAAATGCATCAGCTTTACTCTGCTCTCTTGGGATCAGAAAAACTAGGTGCCGTTTGGCTAGGCTTTTTGCGTGGTTTCATAGCAGGGAGTTGGCTTCACTTGGAGAAAGCAATTAAGCTGCAGTTTGGCGCGGCTTCAAACCTGACAACGGGGGCTTGCTCCAAGGGAGAGTTAATGCTTTCGCATTAAAATAAAATTATCCTTTGCCATATGAATGGCTACACATACAGAGCAGATATTTGATGATTTCTTCTACATAGGGGTACTGATCATAAGCAGGTATGCCACACATGAAACATTTGTGAAATGTATGACAAGTTAACTTATCTCAAAAATGTTGTTCGTCGTGGACCGTTAGACAGCACATGACAGCTCAAAACAAAATTAAGCATGTTTATCAGGCCAAGAAGTCGTCTAATGTAGACTATTAAGCAGGGGACACATGAGCGATGAAAAGGGGCGGCGCGAGCGGCAGTTTTAATAGCAACTTGTGCGGATGCTGTGACATGGACCTATGCCTCGACGCCACGTCACAGCATCCGCGCAAGTTGTTATGTAAACTTCTGTGTGGTGCCCGTTTTCATAGCTCATGTGTGACCTCCTAGAGCCCAGTTGAGTGCGCTTTTCACCGAGCACCAGTGCACTGCGGAGAAGCAACACCTGCAGAAGCAAGCTTTGCGAGTGTTGAGTCTCTGCAGTGCACCGGTATGAATCTCCAATAGGCAGAAAACAGGCATGTGTTCCACTTGGCAGGAGCCTTTTGCAACGCTATAATGCTTCCCTATTCCGGTCTCATTAAGTACATTGAAAGCATACACCTGCATCGTTCAAACATGACCCACAAGAAGGCAAACATGCAAATTTAAGCAAGTTTCGAACACAGCGTCGCCTCTTACTCCCTCACAAAACCTTCTCGACGAAAACATGCTGATGTACCCTTGCTGGGATGTTCTTGGGAACAAGCATAGAGTGACGTTACCTGCCAAATCTGTTGACTTTCTACATTAACCTTTGAATAGACTAAAAACAACTTAACTGGAATGATAGGCTTGTAGGTTCTCAACCTAAGGGAATGCCCGATAATAAAGGAATGGCCATACCACACTATGCTTCATGCCATCAGTACCAAGACAGCCCCCTCCCCCCCCCTCTTCCTTCCCCCACCCCAAACGTCTCGGTACTGATGGAATGAAGCATAGTGTGGAAGTCTACGACCTTGTAAGTAGTAATGCACACACTACGGAATGTTTGATGCATAGTTACAGATTGACGAATGGCTGAAATTTTCTAAAAATGTGCTGGAACTGGACAACAATTACTTGCAGACAGGAATGGCCAAGGAAGCAGAGGAGCTTGGGAAACCCTCGAAAGTACTTTTGAAAAACCCCACCAGTCATAGGAAACCAGTTTGAGAGCTTGTGCATCTATCTCGTATAGAAAGTGTTTTACTGCAGACAGACGACAGCCACTCAAAACGCTGTTCCCATTCTTTTTGGCTGCATTTGTTGGTTTGGCAAATGCGCGTCGGCGTCGCCGTGCAAGTACCTTTGCGGACGCACGACCAAAGCTGGTCCTTGGTCTGGCACTGCTCAAAGACGTAGGGCAGCTTGACGTGGCCCGCACAGATGTACCAGAAGAGGATGCCAAAGGCATATGTGTCCACGCTGTTGTCGTAGCGGCCCGTGAACAGCTCAGGAGCCATGTGGATGGGCGTGCCCACGATGCTACCAGACATCATGGCCTCTGGCTTGCAGAAGCCCAGGTCTGTGAGCTTGGCACGGTTGGACCTGTCCAGCTGCACAACCGGGACAGGACAGAAATGTGGCCACCAATGCAAGTCAACGAAGAAAGAGGTCACGAGCGGCGAGGGTGTAGAAGCACCGAGCGCGACAGTTGGCGCGAATGAGTAATTGCCGGTTTTTTCCGTCCTTTCAGAACTTAAATTTTGTCGCGAAAACTGGTAGCGGGGTCAACCGTGGTGTTCGCCCCGAGCGAGAGCTTAGGAGACTGAGTTCGTGTTCACGAATGCGCTACTTTGTGTGGGCAAAATATGCGAGAGTGCCATTTGTGCCAAGTGCTGCGCAGCATACAGTAAGGTGTTCTGCAGTATCACATGGCATACGTAAGCTACGGTATTGCGCGCCGCGCGGTAGTGTCGCAGTGTCCTGCAGTGTACGTACACAAACTGAAACCACAGGGAAAACGAATTTAGATCAGAAAGATAACGCCTTTTCATTGTTTTGAGCCAATCGTACTGCTAGAGGGAACAAGGTCCAGCATGGCAGTATGTACAACTTCACACCATTACGAAGGAAGTAGTACAGTCTAGGCTCATTAAAACAGACCTGGTTACAACAGATATTTGGATATAACATACCCATTTGTGAAGTTTGGTTGGTTTTCCTCTATGTACCATTGACTTAACTTTATATCTGCATACAACATACTCCTTTTACAATAGACCGAAATCTTCATCAAAATCAAGGTCTGTTATAACGAGCTTAGACTGTAGCACCATGCTTGCTGCATTCACGTATACCTTGGTTTCCCTTGGCAACACAGCAGTGATAATATCCCTTATTGATGCAATCATGCAGAATTCCTTGTCTAGCCCCCATTAGCTTTCTTACTGCTAGATGAAGTTCCATGCATTGATTAAAGAGTCAAGTTCTTACAAGCTCCAACAGTCCCACATTCCCTACTGAGACAGCCCCTACTGAGACAGCCACTTCCATTTATGAAAACATAACCATTCTGAAGATACACACTGTACATTCCATATTTTTTTACGTATAATCCGCATGAAAATTTGTTGAAAATCAAAGGCATAGTTGGGGTGCGGGTCATGCGCGAAGTTTGGCGGACAGCGCAGCAATTTGCGCGTAGCCGTACGGATAGATCCCCTAAGTACCTCTTCTCTGGTCCCTCTTAGGGACTTTCTTCTCCCCTACTTTATCGTGTTTTTTTTCGGGTAGCCATTTCTGTTTTGTTTTTGCACACTCCGAGACGTCGGTTCCACTCCACGCTGTCATCAAATTCGTTGCCAAAGAAATGGGAAACCAAGTGGCAGGCCGGAACTACGACCGCTACGTTGACAAGTCACACGAGCGAGAATACGAGAATGGAATGGCGGTCTGAAGACTAGCGCTTACCCTGAGCTTGAAAAAAAGATAGCAAAGTTCATCAAGGAAAGAAGAGGTCGCGATCACGGCAACTTTTCTAGAAAAGATGGTGCGTAAGTTTTAAAAAGTGCTGCATTAGCATCGCTTTGACAGAATAGACGACGATGCTATCTTCAACAAGGCACCCGCACGAGCGTGTTTAAAATAAAGGTATGGTTCCTAGCGAGATCTGGACATTACTTTAAGTGGCTAGTGCAAGTCTTTTTTATGTGAGGAATTTTAAAATTTTCCAACAGTAGCAAGCTGGGGGCGCGAGTTATATGCAGGGACAGGTAATATACGCAAAAATACAGTATCGCCAAATAACAAAAGGGATCCGCTAGAAAACTCTGCCACGCCAATTCCAATATCGGCCTCAAGAGTTTGCCAACATGTGCACCAGTTGTCTGCATTTAATTTCTAAACATTACATGCACATTAAAGATGAGAGGAAAGTGAAACTCACCAGGACATTCTTCAGCTTGATGTCTCGATGAACTAACCCCTGGCTGTGTAGAAACCGAATGCCTTGCACCACATCAAGTGCAACCTGCATATGCCGCGCAGGATTTCAGACATCAGTCGAATATGGGCATCAGACAAATGTGCCATAGAGGATTTCAGACTACAGTCAAGTTACCAGAAAGAACTTTCACCAATCTCAAGACAACACACGTAAGCAAACAACACTATAGGTATACATACTTTGAAGATAAAGTGGCAATGCTATATTTGTCAAGAATCTGAGGAAAGTACCTAACTGTCGCCTAAACAGGGCAACATGCATCTACAGCAACCTGGGAAAAGCAGGCAATTTCAATCAGTTCCTTCACTGACCTTCTGCGACAAACTGAGGGGGCTGCATGCAATAGTGGCACAAGTTCGAAAATGCAGGTTCCATTCGTTGCTCTTGCACTGGTCAAGGTTGAGACTAATTTCTATTCGACTTGACGGAAACAAACGTCTGGGATATTACATCAGTAAAGACAAAGCTGGCACAAGTATGACATATACCTCTGGGAATGTAAATAGAAGAAAATATGAGTCAACTTGTACAGTTTATTGCATGCAGCACCTCAACGGGTCCTCTCCACAACATTGAAAAAAGGGACGGCTAGCCACGGAATGTCAGCTTGACAACAGTGATCACAAAAGTGACCATCAACGATGCAAGCGTACACTTCTGGTCAACGCTTTGAAGTATTTAGTTCAAAGTGTCACTAAAAAGTATGATGCTGAAAGTATTTCTTTCATCGTGATAAAATATGCTAGTTTGATCATCTTCCATTCAGTAAAAGTTGCAAGTGCCACAGCAGTCACAACCCATAGCCGATGAGGTACCTAGGAACCCGTCATGAAAATAGTTTTTTTTTTTTCACTTAAACGACCAACATGAAAGACTAACACATTCAATTTAATACATATTAGTAAATGTAGTGGCATCAACGACGTACAAGTTAAGCCTGTTAAATAAGTGTTGGATAAATTAGCACCTGTATTATCCTTCATATGTAATCCTATCTCCACAGGAACATTCCCTCACCGTATGCAAGTAGCCAAAGCCGTTCTTAAAGGCGGAAACAAAAATGAGCAATCAAATTACAGGCCCATTTTCATTTCACCGGTGTTTTCCAGGTGTTTTGAAAAAATCATACATAGCATAATCACTTTTTGTCATCAATTCTTCATTCTTACACCCTCACAATATGATTTTCGTAAGGGACGATCAACCGAACTTGCCCTACTAACACAAAAAGAAACATCATGAAATCATTTGAAGAAAAGCTTATTACTCTTGGGGTTTTTGTGGACTTTTCCAAAGCCTTCGGTCGTATTAATCATACTACTCCACTTAAACAAACTTAATTTCTACGGCTTCCATGGTATAACACGCAAACTGATAGCTTCATATTTTCAATTTCGTCAACAGTTTGTCATCAGTAATCAGTGTTCCCACTCATTACCTCTAACTGCCAATGTTCCTTGGGGAAGTTTATTGGGTCCATTGTTTTTTACCACAACTTCGTGATAGGGCCATCTTTCATTGAAATAGTTCATTCTGCTCAAACTTTAGGTGTAATTTTCCAAGAAAACTTGTCATGGGATTGCCACATTGAAACTATCATTGGCAAGATTTCCAAAGCTGTAGGTGTTCTTAAGCGTCGTTTGAACCTCCCAGTAACCATTGAATTACTCATTCACAACTCTTGGCTCGCTTCACATCTGAATTATTGTCATCTCGTTTCGGAAACCACAACAGCAACTAACATAAACAAACTCCATGTTCTTCAAAAAAAAAAAAGGCAGCTCGGTCCATCATTAATGTATCATATGACACCCGTACAGAACCTCTTTTAAAAGCACTGCATCACATGTCAGTTATCCATCTCTATGATTACACCTTAATTCCTAGACATGTAACAAGCAGAAAAATATTACGGAACCCAGATGCTAAGACATAATCTCCCATCATTACTTAATAATCTACTAAGAAACAACATCACTGTTGTAACGAAAACAGCACATTTCATCAAAATTGTGTTTATGTAACGTATTGAGACATGTGTAGACTGTAATAATGAGTCATTTTTTACATCTGCAAGTTTTATATGTGCTTTACATTGTTATTTTACAGTTAGATCACCTTTTTTTTTTTGTATTGACATTGTTTTTGCTGAGGAAATTGGGATGGGCCTCATCAAGTCAACCTATGTTGGCTTTTTGCCCTCGCCTCCGTCACCTGTACAAATTGATAGAAAAAAAATTAACTGAATTTGAATTTGAGGAACTAGGGGTCTGGGATCGGGCGAACTGTGGTCACCGACTGCTCAAAAAATGCAGGCTGTGGCAAATCCCGGGCATCCTATTATCATCCCGCGGCCAATGAGACTACGACATTAGCCGATAAGAACACCAAAAAATGTATCCGCGCGAGCATAAGAAGCCCTGTAAGCATTTGTTCAACTGTTGGTAGGCAAGACCTGGAGACTGAAGGAAACCCACCCTGAGCCGATCGGGCCAACTGAGCCCTGCCCTGAGGGCCGTGTACAGGTCCCTCTGCAGCCGGTCCATGATGAGGAGCACTGCTGGTGTGGCCCCTCCTGCATAGTTGTGGTCGATCACCGAGCCCCGGATCTGAACTATCCGGTCGTGGTCCGGTACGCTCCTGCACACCAGAGGGCACGTCAGCCGACAGGTTCGCCTATACAGTAGACTTTCATTAATTAGACGTCGACGGGACCTTGAAATTTGGTTGAACTATCCGAACGATCACCTGGTGTAGAAGAACTCCATGGCAAGGTCGTTCCAGTGCTTGTCGTCGGGGGGCACGACCGACTTGACTGCGCAGGGTGAGATGCCGCCCCAGGCGTCGCTCGAGTACACCACCCCGTACTGGCCCCGGCCCAGCTCCCGGCCCAGCTGGGGCATCCCGTACAAAATCGTGTCCCTCAGGGACGTGCTCTCCAGGGCGTAGCGGGCCAGCCGCGGGGCGTGCACCTTGCGCACCTGCAAAGACAGTGCCGGATGTCCACATTCGTGTGTAGGCACGGCGAGGGGCAATTCACCGCGGAGCTGGCTAGCGATGAGCGCGTACTGGGGGTCAAAAGATCGAACGCCCCGCCATTTTCACCTCGCCAGTGTTTACAGGCAATGGCACCACCCACGAGAAAATCGGGGAATGGAGTGTCGACGCTCCGACCATAATAATTAGGGGCTCTGCTTCAGCCCGAGAGCCGCGGCTCACCTTTAACCGCTGGCTCTCTGTGCGCTCGAGGCGCCCGGAGTGTACCGCCTCCAGCTGCCGCATGGCTGCCTGGAACTGCTCGTGGGAGGCCCTCAGCCGGTCCCGGAACTGGGCGCAGATGCATCGTGCCAGGCGCCATTCACTCAGGGACACCAGCATGTCCCCGGCCACGCGCTGCTTCCACTCCACGTCTATCCGGGGCGGCGTCCGGCCCGGCAGCGTTTGCGCCAACTGCAGCGAACACCACTGCTGATGTCAGCGCCTTTCGTGGGACTACGCTTGGCGTCCGCAGCCTCAATCGTGCTCGCTTATGAATGTCCCATCCTACCGTATTCATGCAATTCTAAGCACCTCCACAGCCCTCGCCCTTCCCCTCCCTCCCTCCCTCCCTCCCATATGATGCATTATCATGCATCATACAAGGACCTTCTCAATGTAAGAAATACGTAAGTAGGGTCATTTTCCGCTGGTTATCTTTACAGCTTTTATGGAATGCACAACCACAAAGCACTCCATCAAGATATCTGTACAAAGTTTAGGGTTCTAAAAATGCACACTTGAAACCCTACTTGAAAGCTAGGTTTCACTTAACCATAACCCTCAAGTTGCAATTTCAGGTTACGGTGAACTGATAGGGCCCTTCGTTCCACTGTGCCTTAGGGTAAAAAAAAAATATTCAAATTCAGCCACAATTGGATCAGAGCCACCACGAGTTTGAGGCAAGACTTCGAAAGCCACTGACCTGCTTCATCTTCTCCCAGAGCACCCAGAGAAAGGAGGAACTGGTCTTGACAGTCACTTCCACCTGGCATACAAAATAATGCAAGTTTAGCGCAAACTCAGAGCTTCAGAGACGTCAACGCATTGTTGCAGTGCCTTACCTGGTAGGCTGCATTGAGGATCTGCTTCAGAGCGTTGCTCGCTTGGGTGCAGTCGTCCTCCTTGCAGACACCTTCCAGACTCGCCAAGCACCTCTCCAGTGTACCTGGAAGAACGAAACCAATGTTGCTTCAAAGCAAAAGCAAGCAGACGACGCACATCGGTGACTGTCCCCACGTGGGAGATGCCGTTTACCAGGAAGGGAGGGTCCAGACATGCTGGTGGAAATTGCGCACCTAACAAAGCCACAGACCATGATGCAGACACATAAAGGGGTCTATCCTATTCTTACCAGTTGTTTCCGTCTAGTATACCGCAAAGTCTTTCTCTCCACAACACCAAACAGTCGCCCAGACAAAGAATGACGTCCTTATATCTGAGAATGACACCAAGTTCAGGCATTCTGAGCCACTGACTATGGAAAGGCACGAAGGCCTCATTAGTTGCTTCCCTCAATATGATCGGGGGAAATATACCAAATATCCAACACCGTAAAAGACGTTTAAAAAATAGGCTGGGTTTTTAGCATTTCCCAAAAGCCTCCTAAAGGGGTGTTTAAAACAGGACACTACAAAGATCGTCAGGCCACACAACACCGACAAATCGTTCGGCGCTCCGCTTCCGGCCGTTCTCTTTGCCGGGGGAAATTTCCCCCCCGTCAAATCTCCCCCTCGTCAACACAGCCAACAGAGCGTGTAAATAAGTGGCTCTCCACACCCACGTGATGAGCAGAGCAAGGCTGCCGTGGAGGAAGCGAGGGGGAGATTTGACGGGGGGAAGTTTCCCCCCGGCAAAGAGAAACGGCTGGAAGCGGAGCGCTGCACGATTTGTCGGAGTCGTGCGTTTTGTAGTATCCTGTTTGGACACCTCTTAACACGTAGCATTTCTAAAGCCTCTTCACGATACTCCTTTTGCGGGCACATTAAGCCACGTCATGGCATTGTGCAACATCAAATCACGTCGCATTTCATCACGACGTCACATTTCATCAATGGTTCTCGACCACTGATGTCCCAAGGACCCACCCTGGACTAGCGAAAGTGGTGGAATTCACCAGGGGAAGGAGGAGGGGGGAGAGGTTACGGGCAATTTCTACGACAATTGGATAAATGAAGATAACTAAATGTGTGCAAACCTGCTTTGAAGCCGTGAAACTAAGAATAACCAATCTTACTCACTGGGCATGCATGGTTTGGTCTATAACTTTGTGGGACAGCCATCATCAATTAAAAAAAAAAAGATTAATTTCTCTGCTTGATGGACGATCGAGGGCTTTGCAGACACCAAAAATACCTTCAGAAACCCCCATCTGAGAACCACCACATTAGATCACAATGTCATGTTGCATCATGACGTTGACACCACGGTGTCAAGTAACGTCGCAAAGAAAGTGCCAATGCTATGCATTTAGAGCAGCACCTTTGGAATGACATAGTGTCACATGAGACTGTGACACCATTCTACGTACCAGCGAGGAAGCAGAAACCCAAAGAGATGGCTCTATAAATGCTCTGTACTTAAAAAAAGAAGAAAAAAAGAAAGAGGCACAGTAATTCTGATGTGTAGTTGAAGCAGCCTCCGGTGGGGCTTACCTACGAAGCTCTCCCGGAGGCAGTTCACCGAGCCGACCAGTTTCTCGGCCACGGCAGAGTTGAGCATCCCGAGCACCAGGTCCTGGATCTGGGACGTGCAGATCTGCAGGGTGCTGGCCGTCGGAGGGGACCCATTCTCCCCTTCTTCAAGGGACACCCCTGCGGTTGACACACACGCGGAAATTGGCTTCCGGAAATACTCGAGCCAACTTTCCACTCGGTACAAAGCAGACTCGCTTTCTCCATTCTATTTCATCGACTTTCTCGGCTGTGCGTGAGCCCTAATAGGGAAAAAGCATCTACATAAAGGTACAACTAATGAGTGACTTGGCAAGGGTATTCCAGTTCTACCAGCAGAGACGCAAGAAGAATGGAAGAAAAGCGAAGCATTCATGTAATACTACTACAATACAATGTGCCCTAAAGAACCATAGGTATGTCACTTTACACATACAACCTAACAGAAGAATGCACCCTTAGGAAAAAGATAAATTTTTTTCCTTGCATAGCTTACAAAGCTAGTTCCCCCCTTCCCATCCTTCTTCAAAACCATCTCCATCTTTGCCCTTCCCAAGGAGACCTAGTAAAGGTCACAAGGAGACCTAGTAAAGGTCACAAGGAGACCTAGTAAAGGTCACAAGGAGACCTAGTAAAGGTCACAAGGAGACCTAGCAAAGGTCAAAAGGAGACCTAGCAAAGGTCACAAGGAGACCTAGCAAAGGTCACAAGGAGACCTAGCAAAGGTCACAAGGAGACCTAGCAAAGGTCACAAGGAGACCTAGCAAAGGTCACAAGGAGACCTAGCAAAGGTCACAAGGAGACCTAGCAAAGGTCACAAGGAGACCTAGCAAAGGTCACAAGGAGACCTAGCAAAGGTCACAAGGAGACCCAGCAAAGGTCACAAGGAGACCTAGTAAAGGTCACAAGGAGACCTAGTAAAGGTCACAAAGAGACCATAGCCCTATGATGTTCATTCTAGCCCACCAATACAAATAACCCAGCACAACAGAATTGTATCGGATACGCCAATGGATCCTCTCCAAAGCTCAGTATCGTGCTGGCATTCCTCTCATCCTAGGAGTGTATGGTGGCCTCTCGGTGGCCAATGAAGAAAGAAGTTAAAGACATGCACCCAAGCGGATGAAACTGCTTGTGTATTCGAGACAAATTAAGTGAAAGTGTAGCGTCAACATTCAAGTCGGGGTCTGGTTCAAAATACCCAAACACACCCTCGGCTCTACGACTCTTTGGTGTACAGGATTAGATCAGGAGGGTCAGCGCCTCATACACAGGTTTTTTCTCAGTCACCTTTGGAATCAAAACGAAACAAAAAAGAAAGAACTGCACGGTGAAGGACGCTTTTATGTCTGCCGTTGCTGCACGAAAATTAAAGTGTCCCACAAAACGTTTTAAGGGCCAGGTTGTGGATTTTTACACAAATAAATAAAAACAGCCAACTTTCGTGAACGTTTTACACTTTTAATGTAGTTTGAAAAGTCACGTACTAGGGTTCTTTGCTGTGCAGAAGGTTCGCTGCTCATGGTACGGTAAAAGTTAGGCTGATGTTGGTGCCACCAAATGCCACTGAATTTCTAAAAGGACATTTCTAAAAGAACTGATTTTACCGCTTTATAGATTAGCTACAGCATGGGTTCTCGAACCGGGTTCCTCGGAATACAGCGGTTCCCCAGAGCAGCCTTATGGGTTCCCCATGCTCCCAAATTTCCTCAACAGTTCCCTACCCCGAGTAGGCATTTTTTCAGTTTAAGCCCTATACTATCAAACCTTAGTCACCCTTGATGCATAGCTAGAGCCACTCTTTAGTATACAGATTATTGTTTACAAGGCCTGCATGCTTCTGCATTGCTTTACTGCACCAATGCCAAGACCTGCTGTTCAGGGCAAATAGGGGTCCTAAAAGTTTGAGACCTAAGAACTACTGAGCTAGAGGTTAACTGTTAGTAAAGACACTGGTTAGGTGGCACAAGCCACCGCCCGATTTAGACAATTTGGCCGTACGCATCTGTCCATTCATCCGGTCTGGACAAACACCCAGTACACCAGGGGTGTAAAGACGGAAGCAGAACACTGCAAATCCCGGGTGCAGACATCGGCGATCCCAAGAGAAAGAAAGGAAGAGAAAGACAGCGACAGAAGAGCGAAGAAAGAATGCAGACAAAAGGATAGGAGTGTTCGTTTTGCTGCAACGAGTTGAAGCTGCTCGAGTGCTTGTAAACCGTATTTAGTTTGATACAACGCTCGATTCCAAAATTTTCCTGCAAAGTAAGCTAGAAAAGCACAAGGTACAGATCCGGCAGACAACATTATGCTGTATGCGGCTTCTTTGCACATATTAAAGCGTCACTAGCAGTAAGGGCCCATCGGGACAGCTAACTGGGACCGTCAATGTCCGCGTCTACGCCCCGCCGCTCCCATGCATCCCCAATGCACGAGATCTTTCCCTCTAGGTTATTATATCAACTCTATGCGGTACACGAAGCGAAGGAGGCAAAATCCCTCACCCTCGAAGTGGTGGTCGGCCGCCCGCTGAAGAACCTCCTCCCGGAGCCCCTCTACGGCCCCGACGATGAGCTGGCGGATCTCCTCCTGCTTGTGGCTGGCCACCTCCATGAGGGCGTGGTACAGGCCAGTCTCCTGCCGCCGGGCGTAGGCCAGCCGCTTGGGCGTGATCATCATGTCCCGCGTCATGTCGAACGCCGTCAGGATGAACGACCGAAGGCACAGCAGGTGCGTCGTGTTGAGCAGCGAGGCTGCGCTCACCAGCAGGGACTGCAGGGCGCTCCTCACGAACAGGTAGGCACTGCTGCAAGGTCCCGTGGGAATGGACGGCAGAGGTGAACCGCGAGGAATTTGAGGACCACCAAAGCGCGACTCTGTCTTTGCTCCTAGCCTCGCGAAGGGGGGCAAAGCAAACTTCGAGCTAATCTTTTGTCTCACTAAGAGTTTGTTAATTCTAACTGTTTAAAGTTCAAACATTTGTTTCAGTGTGACCGACTGTTTTGACTGCTCGCGACGAGACGACTGCTATGGCAACCGAAGTCCGTGCAATGCGTCACACTGAAACGAGAGGAGTCGAAATGCAGTCGATTACGCTCAAATGCAAATATCTGGGCTAGCTTAAGGTGAGGCACTACCCAGAAGAAAAAAAACTTCTGCAAAAAAGGCTGCTGGCTAATACGTTTATTAGATATCTGCCTTTTGGCTGGAGGGCCTCAAGGTTGCAAAAAAAGTTTATTTTGAAAAATGCATTATTTACATGTACCAACATTCAGAAAGTTTTATTAGTTTACACTGCACAGGATTTGTTTTATAAATTATTTTTGGTCCATTGATGCTAAAGAAAAAGTAGTCGTTGGAGCACTTTGAACGCGTTTTTCTCCGCTCCACTTTTTGCCATATATTTCACTTACAGAAAACTATCATTTGGTAACGGGACAAAAAAAACAAAAAAACTCGCTCATAGTTTTTCCTAACTGAACTTTAATCGGCAATGCAACTGTGGCATTGCTTTTTTACTATGTGGATCTCTTTTATAAAAGATATTAATATTGTCCATAAAAGGCAAAGCATTCATTTAATTTTTCACCGTGATATTAGCATAATAAATTACTTTTTGGAAATTTTGTTTCCACAGTTGCACTCTCCAGGCATTCTGCTCAATACCCAGTTAAGAAAAATGTTTGGTATTATATTAGTTTTCTATTGATAGTTTTCCTAAACAAAGTCAGTGTTCGTGATAAAAACAACTAATTTCTTTTACAATTTATCTACACTGTTTTTTGCCTCAAAACTGCCAGTATATATTACCGTAAATTTCATTCATGTTAATCTAAAGGTACAATAGTTGACCTTTTTGGCTAGTGTCCCCCTTTAGGGGGACACTACCTAAAAGGGATGGATGAAGGAATAAAACAATTAAAACTGGGACGACACCAACCACATCTTTCATATTTCAAATTTTGAAAGATGTGGTTGTGTTGTCCCAGTTTTAATTGTTTTATTCTTTCTTCATCCGTTACTTGAACCAACACACTCTTCTCCCAAGCATACCTAAAAGGGTAGGGGGACACTACCCAAAAAAGTGAATGTTTTAACCACTTGTCTGATTTAAATAACAGTTACAGGGCTTGTTCCTGTCAGTGTTGATTACATTTCTGCCAAATTTTGTTAACCTGGGTGAAGTACAAAAAATTGCAAATGTTCAAAGACGAAAGTGGGCATGTCTGCATAGGAAAACTATCGTTTTGAAATTACTTATAAATTTGTCGTTTTATATTGCTTTAGGACAGTTCAGAGCAGATAGCTATGGAGCTATATTTCTATATTATACCATCTTTCATAATAAAAAAGCCACATACACAAATACTGTTTTCTAGATTTCCATCCTTTGTCCAAAATGTTAGTTCTTGGGCATGAAAAATGACAAAAATAAAATATACAAGCTCCATAGCTATCTTCTTAAAATTTTACCCCAGAAAAACTCGTAAAAATGGATCCCAGTTCCGTAATAACAAAATGATAGTTTTCCCATAAGTGAAATTTATGCCAAAAAATGGATTGGAGAAAAATGCGTTCAAAGCGCTCCAACCTCTACCTTTTCTTTAGCATCGATGGGCCGAAAATAATTTATAAAAAATTAACTATGCGGTGTAAACTAATTAAACATTCTGGGAATACTCTAGATATTGGTGGATGTAAATATGACATTTTCAAAATCAATATTTTTTTGCAGAAATTGTTTTTTCTAGGTTTTTCTCGATTCCAGCTTTCCCCCTTAAAGGGGCCCTGCAATCATATTTAAGCGTCCACCTTTTTTGCGGTTTCCACGTCTCTTGGGGTTCGGGCAAGCCAGCAGGCACAGAGAGAGTAACTAAATATCAGTGCGTCATATTTTAACCGGACGACGCGAAAACCTCTTCCACCGACGAGGGCGACCCACGGTACCGAAAGCGCGCAAAATCTGACGTCTTTGGTCCTGGGCTTACTACTGGCCAGAGCCACTAAAAGCTTCTTTTTAGTCGAAATACAAAATATAAGTGACGCAAACCGTTTCAATTGTTTATAAAAGTAGTTTTTGTTCAGTATTTTTGATCAAAAAAAAAAGGAATGCAGTTTATAAAGTACGGAAACAAGAAATTACCCGTCGACATACCCGCCACCAAGCGGTGGAAAAGGCGGCGCATACTAGAGAGGAGTAGTGGGATCAGGCGCCGACACGGAAAGGTCCCGGATGTACGCGGCAGCGCTGCGGTCGTTTGGGCAGGAGCATCCGACCGGCTCCGAGCGTTCCGAAGGCCTTCGGCGAGAAGCTTTGTCTTGCATTTTGGCCGTTTCACGGTATGGCAGCGCAAAGTAGCTCTTATTCTGAACTGATCTTTACCCCATGTTTGCTGTCGTTTGTGGCCAATGATGTGTCATGCCGAATTAGTATTTACTCGCGCAGCAAATGCCATGAGAGCCGCTCTGGCTGCCCGCTGCATACATTCTATCCAGAACACGCTTCAATGGCGCCCTCTCGCGCCGTCGACTCGGAGTGCGGCAGCCGTGAGCGCTCGATGAGCCCACTACTTCTCCTCTAGTTCACGGCCTCTCTCAAGCAACCAAGGACGTCATGAGGGAGGTTATTTTTTGCTTGTTTTTGCAATTTTAAATTGCCTATAACTTTTAAAATAAAGAGAATTTCGAGAAAAGAAAAGTTTCACTAAGTTACTACGTTCGGTGCGCTCAGGTTCGGTGCAAATTAAAAATTAGTAAAAAGGTCTTTGCAGGGCCCCTTTAAAGGGGCAAGCTGGAATCGAGCCTAAACTTTTTATTTTTAGAGTTACTATTTGTATGAAACTTTGAATGCTCGATTTTGCTTCTTCAACGTGAATTGGAAGCTGCTGGGACCCCTCAAATATTTTTTTAAAACCCTTTTCTCAGTGGTTGTGGGTGCGCCAAGTAACCACGGTCTATAAATTGAAAAACTTCTTTAGGGCATTTTCGGTGTGGTGTGCCTTTTGTCCAAGTACAAGCGCCCTACGAAGCTCTCTCAGCACGGAGAGTGACGCGACCGTTCTTAGGCCCAACCACTGAGAAAAGGGTTTTAAAAAAATGCTTCACCATCCAAAATGAGACCACAGGCGACGGTGAGTCTTGTTGACATCAATGCATCAGATGGGTGAAGCATGTCCGGGGCTGGGCAATTCCTTGACCCCAGATACTACAAGTGTGCGCGCTGCTTGGTTTCACTGTTGATCACTTCCGCAACTACGCACTTGCAGCCATTATGAGAGTGTGTATTGCTATGTTTGGCTTGGCTCGACTTGGCCCGGCTGCTTGGCGGCTAGCAGAGTTGGACGCAGTTTGAAACTTGCGGAGCCGAAAATTGGAGTTGCGTTCATTATGCGAGAGAAGAAAAAGTCGAAATATTGATGGTCGTTGTGAGGGTGCATTCGTCATGCTGGTTAATAAATACGGTATGTTGCCACACTGGTCGTCGAGGTCCCCCAAAAAGGGCTTGAGCGTGCCCACCAACCTGCCAAAGTCCTCGAAGCTCTCGACGAATTCCGAGCTGGCCAGCACGGTCCCGCCGCAGCGGATGCTTGAGCGCCTCCGGTCCCTGCGCTTGTCCTGGAAGCGCTTGCACAGGAAGCCCAGGTTGCACAGCTGCTGGTACGCCGAGATGGGGAACGTCAGCACCGGCTTGGACTGCTGCCCATTCTCCTGCTGCACTGCAAGTGCAGTCGGGGAACGGCACACGCCAGACAGTCAGATAAGGGCTGGAAAGCCGAGCTTCCCAGACTAACCAAAAAGATTATATGGTAATATCCAGAGAAATGACCCACCCCCCAAAAGATAGCCCGCCCCTATTTTTGGCAGGATTTGTTATTTTTTTCCGAAACGCTGAGAGATGGCCCACTTTTAGTAATCGCAAGGCCCCGACCAACAGTGACATTGGCAAAAACGGTGTCACTTAACCACGGCGAGTGATGACTCAACACTGCCAACTGGGAAGTACATTCCTCTTTGGTTCATCGCCCCTTCCTGCGATCGCAAGTTTGGAGGGTCACAAAATTTAAACCTAGCAATTTTTTTACTTTTTTCTTTTTTACAGCATGCACCCCTTATTCTCATCCAATTAGCTATCGATTTTAGGTGGACTATCTCTCTGGACATTACGGTAAATGTATCTCAACCCTACTGATGAGGTCGGGGAGACACAGAATGTGCAGTGTTTTGAACTGCACTTTTTTTGCAGCTAGGGAGTTACGCCAAATTCCAGTCAATTTAGCGAGGCAATTTAGGTTGCTCGTTATATTTGGCACATTACACCCCCGCGTTACATTCTCTCGGGTTATTTCCTTATAAAACACCCACCCCTAAGCACATTCTGCACAAAACGAAAATGGCCTTGCCCCACCCCACCCAAAGATCTAAGAGGTTATTTCTGAGCCTTTTTTTCAATCTATGCATAATATGAGAAAATAGTATGTGTATACATGCAATAACTCTCAGCAAAACCTTGTTTAATGGATAATGCAGGCCTAGGAAACAGGCAGCCTTTAAAGGCCAACGTTTTGACACATTAAAATTGGGGCTGGACTAAACTTTCGTACAAGTGTGACCAATTGTTTCGCAGCAGGGGTGAGACAGGTGAAACAGGTTTTGGAGCAAGTTTTGGAGCAGAAAAATCTGAATTTTGGAGCAGCTTAAGAACACAAAATTCTCGTTTTGGAGCAGCAGTTTATGCATGGAGCACAAAAGTCTACCGTTTGGAGCAGATTAGGAGCAGAAAATGTTACAGCAGCTTATCAGCCATTTAAATCATAAAACAAAAAAACCTAATATAAATCACAGAAATCAGATTTTTTTTTTAATCATTATTTTTGTCCACCCAGGTTCCAATAAGTCACAAGCGCTAATATGCACCAAGACAAAATATATTTTAAAAAAAACACGGAAAGGGAAACAAGCTTTATGCGCATAGATGAGGGCAGGAAACACAGGCCAATTGCAAAGTTAGGTGGGCACCAGATACCTCAAGCTTATACGAACTGGTGCCAAAGCGCAATTGTAGTGCAAAACTTTTTAAAGCGGAGATTCGAGAGCATGAACAGAGAAGCACGGTTTACTACAACCAGACATCGATCGGACGCTCGTAGAAAGCACGTGCAGATAGAAAAAAGAGTCTCGCAAAAGTGAGTCACAAGGTAAATAACGAATTGGTAGAAAAACTATGAGCAGCACATGTACGCTAAATACGGGTGTGTGACTAATTCGTTCGTTTGCTCACGCACTGGAAGCACGTGTGTGATAATCGAAAGTACTCACGGCGACGGCGCCACCCATTTTGAAGAGATTACGGACACGAGTGAACAATTACACTATGGAGGTGCTCAATAGCACTTTTAAGAAAAGGTTTACTCTCAAAACGAAAGAAATACTTAGGTTTGCTCATCTTGATAGCCTGTGCGTCATACCTCCTGCGACCAGACAGCGAGACTGCGTAACAACGCACCGTTAGCATGCAGTCAAAAATGGCATCGGAAAGTATTAGGAAAATCGTGAAACGACCATGTATCATAGGTATAGGACACTACAGCTGAAATCTTCGAATCCGGCGGTTGCTTGCGCAACCTTGTACCCGTGCCGTGTACTTTACTGCGATGAGATTGAATGTTGCCAACCAAGCTTTCGTTTCCCGCTAAATCGTTAGCGTCGCTGCAAACCTTTTTGTAGTTTTTGAGCTACTTTGGCGCAGTGTGGCGCAATTTCGACAGATTTCGCGTTTTTGGCTCAACTAGGCGCAGAAAATTGGGTTTGTATCAAAATGGCACAATTGGCGCAGATGTCACACCCCTGTCACAGTCAAACCCGGATATATTCAAAATAGTTTGAGATAATGACAATTCAATAAACAAAAATATGTCAACTTAAGCTCCAGTTGAAATTTCCATGCGTCTCTGCCAACGTCGATGATCGTTACAAATGGGAGTTTACCAAAGAGCATCCAAGGATCGCTAAATACAGTAGAACCGTGTTAAAACACTCTTAGCGAAAACTGCGCGCGAAGCTTGTCGTGCTTATGCGTGCACGTGGCCACGATCTCAGCAGCACGGACGAACACGAAAATAATAAAAAAAAAAAGAAAAAGGTTAAAGAGCAGGATGCCTAAAAAAAAAAAACTTTAGCCAGACAGCTAAATTAATGTCAATACAAAAATGACAAAGCAAGAACTACGACAGGAAAGGTCAACAAAGATAAACAAGGCATTTAAAGTGTGATTGCACAACCGCTGTCGACTAGCAAAAGATTGTTGCATTTGTGCTTGGAAGGGGGGTAGGGGGGGCGCTCAGGAGCAGTGTTGCGGAGTTGCCACTCCGGAGTTGGAATGATTCCCGGAACCATTCCGCATTTTCGCGACCCCGGAATGGAATGGGCCAGGTTCTTTAAATTTTATTTATTTATTTATTTTTTACATTCAGCTATACCGAGCCAGTCAGGGAGTCGGTTGTTCAGGAATAAAACGAGCGGGAAACTGCGAACCCGCTTAAGGCCCTAGCAGACTTATGCAAAAAAGGAAAAAATTCAATACAAAAAACAAGCGTTAAAGCAAAGAACAGAGGGGGATGGGAGGGAGGGGGGGGCAGTGGCGCTTTTCACCAGTGAAGTTCAACACATATCCAAATGCGTCTGCACCTGTAATATTGCACAGCTGGTACGTCATCAGCCGACATGAACGTGACCTGCTGCTCTGGTGATTCGATACCGAGGAAGGAGGCCAGACATGGCCTTGCTGTGCGGACCCAGACTTCGTACACTTTCGACTTGTCTCGAGCGCGCTGTTTCTCAAAGAGCTCGCACCTGTGCCGGCCATCTCTGATCGCAATCCACGAGGTCTCTGTTTAAGTGATGCTAGGCGAAATTTGAAGACTGCCATTTATGCGTTGGAGGCGGAGAGTTGGCAGGAAGGACCGTCACAACAGGGATGCCACCGTATCGTTTTTTCAACCGTAACAGAAGATAATACATGTGCTTCAGGATGCTTCACATGGTCCACTTTTCTTGAAAATTCAAAATGCAACTGCCTGCATGGTCTTCAACGAGGTCAGCTACAACAAAAGTATGTATTGTCCTTTCATAGAGCAGCGTGGGTAAAGTTTCATGTTCAAGGCAACACCTACAAATTCAAGAATACTAGTTCATCCCACCGTGACGTCATGTGATCAGTGCTGACAGGGGCGCCCTTATTGGACAGGGAAGTGGTGATGTTTTGATGGAATTTATTTTAGAGGTCGAAGTCTTTTCGCATCACTGGTCAGTCAGACAGGATGCTAGGGAAGGGACCGCGGTCAATCCTTGATGGAACGTTTTTTAAACCCATTTTGGACTCTTCGTCCGGAACCACTACCTACAAGGCGAAGTGCCAAGCCTGCGGAAAAGTAATTTCGGGTATTTGTATTTCCAAAGACTTTTTGCCTCTTTTTAAAATGCGTTTCCGATACGTATCACTACACATTTTTATAGATATATTTGAGACTTGAGTATCAGTATCTTAGCAACTATTTTCATCTATCCCAATATTTGTATTTCCAAATACATTTCTGAACATTTCTGCCCAACCCTGCAACGTATAGCAGCTGTCAAGTGACACTTTTAACGTTTAGGAATTGGAGGAATGGAATGGAGCGACTCAGCCATTCCAGGAGTGGGAATGGGCCCAGTGTACCCATTCCTAGGAGTTGAAAGGAATGGAATTATCGAAAACTCTAATTCCCTGAAATGGAATTGGAATGGAATGGGGGTGCCCATTCCGCAACACTGTTCAGGAGTCTAGGCGGAGTGTTGATCTTCTCTGCCTCTAGGCGCCATTCGCTGCACGTGGCTAAAGTCCTTTATCCTCAACACGCGACAGTGTTCGAGAGAAACCAGGTCCACTGTGCGCAGTTCGACGTATCGGAGGTGGTGAAGTGCGATTGAGATGCACAAGGTGCTTATACTTTTACATGGGACTTTTAAGGAGAAGTTTTGAACGTTCGAAAAAAGCAAACAAAAGAACATTTCGAAAAACCCACGATTGATACAACTGGGCTCAACTGTACGATTCCTCCCGTTCCACTATAACGTGTTGTGTGGACCTCTGCTACCACAGCAACCATCTCGTCATGTGCGGTTGTAATGCAGTTGGTTGTGCTCACATGCATGTACACACTAATGATTTCACCTCAATGGTTCAATGGGGCCAGCAGAGAGTTTTCGCAGATACATACCCGGAGTCAGAGGAGGCGTGGACGACACCTCGCTGCCACTGCCGTCCCCTTCGTGGCCAAAGGAGCCGGAGGAGATGAGCATCTGCCGAGCCTGCTGCGAACGCGCCGCGTGCCGCAGACTACGAGCGTGCTGCTCGGACTCCGTCAGTTCGGACGTGGTGGGCAGGTCGGCACGCACGAATAGCACGGGGGTCTTGGGGGCCAGCCGCCTCAGCTCGCACAGGTCAGCCACTTCCTGGGAGGGCACGGGACAGAGCAGAAACGTCAAAGCCATTCCGGACTCCGGTGCAGAGCCAACTAATCCACAATGCGTTATCTTAAGGGGGGCCATCACCCAGAACGAGAAATTCTGCAAAAATGTTGATTTTGAAAAATGCCCTGTATTTACGTCCACCAAAATCTAGAGATAGAGAGTATTCCCAGAAAGTTTTGTTTGTTTACAGTGCAGTTATTTTTTATAAATTATTTTCAGTCCACCAATGCTAAAGAAAAGGTAGAGGTTCGAGCATTTTGAACGAGTTTTTTTCCAATCCACTTTTTGGCACAACTCCTACCTATCGAGAGACTTAATATTTGCGCCTTATATGCCGACATTTTATGGAGCCGGTTACTTAGATTTTGCATTTTCATGTTCCTTTATTGTGAAAAATTGTAATTTGCAAAACTTGGTAAATGTAAAAAAAAGTTTTTTCATACAATTTTTTTACCTGGAAATGCATATTTTCTGAAATTTCTTTTTTTAGTAACTGGCAGCAGGTTTTCCAGTATGCATTCCACCAAAAAATATGTCGTTATCAACACCATTTTTCAATGATAGATTTATTGAGCAGATTCTATTCAAAGCTATGCTTTATTTTGTTCTGAGCGTATAAAATTAGTTCACAGGGCTAAAGCTTTGCAGCTTTGCACGCCCTCCTTCTCTATGGCTGCAAACACCACCTGAAAGCGGTTCAAAGGTGGTGAGCGGTTCAAAGGTTGACATTCCCAGGTAGTGGCCCCCCTTAACCAGTCTCTGTCAAAATGTAGACTGCATACTGCACGATATCAAAGGTGAAAATTAGCTCCATCGTAGCTGCCATTGTCAGATACAGGTTAAGAATGCACCAGACAAATACCATCCTGTACCAGCCATAGCATCCAACCGCTCCGGCGAACGATCAGAGAAGGCTTAATAAGTAATGCGATGTCGGCACAAGGTTACTGTGCCTCGGCGGCAGATCGCATGTGCATCTTGGAGGATTGGCGGCTGGCAGTAATCACGACGTGGGAGGGGCTTCTGGTGTATTTTTAGCTTGTATCCAACTATAAATGCTGCAAAACAAAAACAAATGCCTCGTTCAACTTGTGGCCTCTTCCCCTTAGCCATGCTGTGGAAGGAACTAGGGAACATGGCTTGTTTGTACCACCGGGTGTAAAAGCGGGAGGGGAGAGAGGCTCTATCCTAACTGAAGTGTTGCCCGAACCCTGCTCACGTGTATAAAGCTATGAAAACTGCTTTGGAGTCCCACGAGAGTTTACTGCTTACGGAACAAACGAAACCTTGGAGTTGCTAACTAAAATTTGTCATTAATGCCATGGGGCAGGGCATAGCCAAAGGGGGGAGGGGGCTTATGGGGAAACCTGACAATTCGAGGTTTTCCGGATTGGCAGACGCCCTTCTGGCTTACATATTATACGATCAACCAATGGCATCCCTACTCAACTTTAATAAAAAAAAAAAAGCAGTACAGTACAGCGACACATCACGGCGAAATTGTCTGCTCGATTGGCTTCGTTCTCACAGGCATGCACCTCACGGTTCTTCCTGCGACAAACGGCGAGACGCGTCTGTGTCGCTACAGGCGTGCCTTGCGGCGTCTCGCAACAAGCGTGACGCTAGTATGCGGAGACGCCAAGACGTCCGCGTCTGCCGCCTTACGCCATACTCTTGTCAAGTTTTGGCGCGTTTGCCGCTTGGGGCCGCTCAGGGATTTGCCTTACCACGACATAATGCGTGAGACTTTCTAGCTGGTATTGGATGGATGGATATGGCTGGACCCTTCTAATCGGGCGGTGGCTCGTGCCACCCAGGCGAAGCTTTTACTTTTAACAATTACCTTTGAAATTAGGAATGACGAAGAATTTTTTCTCACAACGTCGCAGGAACTGTGGCCATCTAGCAGGCCCTACTTGATACTCGTACCCAGGTTTGTTCCACAAAATTGTATAACAAAAAAGATTGCCAATGCTCTGGTGCAGCTCTGTGGTAATACGACCACTTCACACGCGGTGGACCGAGGTTTGAATCCCGAGAGCGGCAGGCGATCCTTTTTCGAGCAGTTGGCCAAATTGCGACGGACGCCCTATGCCTTATTACGCCAACTACGACATCAACAACGATGGATGTCATTTACGGTAGTGGGAAGAGCCCCATAACAGCCGTCGCTGTAAAAAACCTGAAACGTCTTCGGAACCGCACAAATTCCCCAAGGTCACGCGCCCAAGGATGTGCAAACCCCGCCCGAGGTCGTGAGTTAGTCTCGGGGTCCGAACCACAGAAGAACCCACCTTTTCGGAGAGAGCGTCGTCAGAGAAGGCATAGATGAGGAGTGGGGTGCACCCCTCGACGGCCTTGAAGTAGGTCTGCTCGAAGGAGCTGTCGTTGCAAGGAGTCGCCACCACCTGCACCTCCTCCCGCAGCAGTGGGTGCTTCATACGGATCTCCAGCACAGCCGTGCTCAGGGCGGGGTCGTGGCGGGCGTCCCCCTGGAGAGACGACGGCAGCCTTCAGCGGGTCTCGAACGACCGCAGCTCGAGGCACGAGAGGGATCTTAGAACGCACTTAGATCGGAGTCCTCGCCAAATGCCGACGCAGCACTCATTAAAGCTCGAGCCGGAGGCTGCAATGGCTCTCGTGTCAAATATGTGCTGGAATAATTGACGTAGCAGCTGCTAGATGGTGCAACCTTTTGAAACGGGTCTATTCCATTGCAATAACGAAAAATGGTGGAACACAATCTTTTGACGGTGTTCTGCCAAGGGCTTTTGAGCACACTTATCTTGAGATACATCCATCTGCTGTGAATGACAGCCAAGGGACTCCCTCCCCTGCCATCATTACAATAAAGCAGTTCAGAAGCCCACTATCTTCATTAGCTACGGTACCTACCTTGAAACGTAGTTAGCACAAGCGCGACATCGGCAAACGTAATGCTTGAAATGCTGCCTGCCCATAATGCCAGTAATTTTGATGACTCCTTGAATTAAGTGCAAAATAAAATGAACTGGCGCTCGCTCGTTTTTGCTGTGTTGTTCACTGTACAAACTAAAGAATGCGTGGCTCACACTTGTGCATGAACTCTTGGAGCTGCCACACACGTGTGCTCTAGAAACGCAATGCATTGAGCGCAAAAGAAAAATATGAAACAAAAGACCACCTGTTACATCTGCCGGAGGTGCGAGGCAGATGCTAAATATATATGCGAGAGCATGTCAGTCACAAGTGAGAAACGCATTTAAACATGAAAGCTGCTCCAGTCTGTTCACCGTCAAACAGCTGCGACGGATGATCGGCGCTCCCCAAAGTAACGAACTCCACCTATTAAGGCTCGTTCGGACATCTACGTACGAGTGAATAACCACATTCCGGCTCCTGGCGTTCCACTACGACATGTTGCATGGACCTCGCTTGCCACAGCAACCATTCCGTTGCAAGCAGTCGTAAGCAGTTGTAACGCATTCGGCCACAATTCCAGGCTGGTTCGCAGATTCGTGCATCATCCGACTCATTTGACTAACCTGCACCAGCTGCGCTTTTCTGCACTGCACTACACATTTCTGCAACGGTGCAGGCTGGAGCAAGTGAATCAAATGACCCTACCAAGTGCACTGTGACCTCTAATGCCAGAGTCGCACTAAAGCATCTAACAGAAACAGCCAAGAAGTCTAACAGTAGCATCGTGCCCGCGAGGGTATTCATGGCAGGCTTGAAATTACTGCCGCTTACTTCCCGAGCACCGAGAGATTGCAAGCCTGCCAAAGAGGTACCATAGCGTGCATCATGCACGTGTTTGAGGCTTGTTGGTGTCTGCTGTTTCAGTTTTTTTTCGCTCTGGTGGGACTCGAGCATTAGAACCACTTAGAACGAGAGAACACGGTGGCAAGCTCAGAAACTACCTGTTACTAGACTGAAGGCTTTGTAGTATTTGTGAGATCAACACTTGTGCGGTTTGTGCAGCTGAGTTATACGGCCAGGGACCCATAGTATAGGGGCTAATTGTAAGGACCAGTCCGCTAATTAAGTATAATTTGTTAATTAACTTTTTAGTCAGTGAAAATAGACATGGTCCCAATTAGAAACTTGCCTAAGAGTCGTTGAAAACCACTAAATCAAGAATTTTTAGAAATACTTTGAGTGCGTACGAAGCATAGTAGTGCTGTAAGCGTACCACCCGAGCAACAGATACAAGGCTGGGTCTATGATAAGAAACGGAAAAATTGCGCGGGTCCGTTGTCGTACCAGTAGCCTCACTCCTGCAGCACAGGTGGTAACTTCAGCGCACTACTGTACTTCTCATGTGCTCAAAGTCTTTCTATAAAATACTAATCTAGCAGTTTTTGACGACACTCAGCAAGTTTCTATTAAGAACCATACATTTATTTTCACTGATTAAAGGTTAATTAACAAATTTTACTTAATAAGCCAACTGATCATTACGATTAGCCCCCTCCACTATGTCCTCCTGGCCGTATATCTCACCTGCACAAACCGCAAAGTGTAGCTTTCAAGGCCTTTTCTTCTTAAGTCTGTTAAGATTTAAAAAGAAAAAACACACACACTGTATAACAACTGCTTGCTTACAATTAGGACTCTGTTTTCAGCATGTACCGACAAACCTCAAGAATTCACCCTTGAGCTGGTCGCATCACAATCGGAGAAAAACAAAAACCTGGGATAAAAGCCGTCCTTGAAGAAGAAAAATTCCCAAGCTTCATGGAAAGAAATATTTATCAACAGCAGCATTTTAAACTGAACTTTGCCCACAGAATTCTTCTGCACAAGGTGACTGCTCTCTTGCGGAACTGCCACTCTCATCTTATCTCCTTGTCTTATGAGTGGAATGATGCACGCTTTTTAAGTATTCGGGTCATGCGCACGTGCCCCGGAGGGTCAAATTAAAGGTGCACTAAAGACGTTTCTGAGATTGTCTGCTCTTGGTGATAACACAACAGAAATTCAAAAATTATGCTTGTGCGATGTCTAGCTCCCTACAAAAAACGTGATTGAAGTCTGTGCCACGCCCCTTTCTGAGAGGAAAACTCTGAAGCGCAGAATCCAGTGGAGGCGCCGGCGGAGTGACGACGGGAGCGCGGACTGGCTGACGCTCGCCCATCGTCATGCCGCCTCCGCTGAATTTTGTGATCCAGATTTTTCCGCTCAGAAAGGGGCGTGACACGAACTTCGATCACATTTTTAATAGGGAAATCGATGTTGCACAAGCATAACTTTTCGATTTATGTGATGCTCAGATCCCATACAATGAGTTGTCACCAAAAGCAGACAATTTTAGAAACGTCTTTAGTGCACCTTTAGGTTCCGACAAACACCGATTTCTGTCAAAACACTGAAAACATACTTTGCAAAACACCAAACCTGCGCAAAGGGATTAACCCCGTACGATCAACCTCCAAATTAAAAAAATAAAATAGGCCCCGAAAACTCGGAACCCTCGCGACATTGTCAAAAGTATTCCGAGCCCACGGCGAAAGAAAGATGCATAGGTCGGTCCTTTCTCATAGTCACCCATAGATGGCGTCGAAGCGGTATCTCATCGTAAGCTGACGAGCAGTTGCGGCGTGCTTTGACCCATTCGAAAGCAGACGTGCTAACTGGCCCGCAAAAGTCAACATTCAAACCGGCCTTTGGAAGACGTCGTGGCACCGAGGAATGCGCGCTCACCTCGAGCTCCAGGTCGGCTCGGGGAATGGTCCTCCAGGGTTGGTCGTAGGCAGCCAGGTGCTCCACGAGCTCGAAGCTGTTGGGCAAAGCCAGGCTGATCTCTGTCTGGTTACTGGTCCCGGGGCAGAAGCGCACCTGCGGCAAGGAAGTGAGGTCATCCAGACCTATTTTTAAGAAGAAAGTTTCCCAATTTTCATTGATATGCCAAACACCCTAAAATCATAGAAGCTTACCATTTTACGTAATGTGCAAAGGAAGCAGTAGTTGTTAAACAGACATTTTTCAGCCTCCGCTTTTTTTATGCACAGATTAGAGCACCCCCTAGCCAAACAATGACCACTCACTTCAATTGTCACATATTAAGAAAACTAATGTTAAGTGTCGAAGGGCCCGATTTAAAGCATGGAAGAAAATAAAATAAAAATAAATAATCATTGTAAACACTGAACTCTACCTATAATAAACAAAAAAAATGAAAGCCGCTTACAACTCCCTGTAACGCCGAATTAGAGCGCAGCTCTTGAGGAGGAGGAGGAGGGAAGGGAAGGGGGGGGGGGGGGTAAACTAACCAGGGGGGGGTCACGTGACCCCCAATGCCGATGATGTCATCACTGACGTCACTGATGACTTCATCCGTGACGATGACGATGCGGGTACCGATGACGTCATTAGTGACGTCACTGATGGCTTCACCAGTGATGATGACGATGACGATGCGAATGTCGGTGACGTCATCAGTGACGTCGCTGATGACGTCATCAGTGATGATGACGATGACGATGCGGATGCCGGTGACGACATCAGTGACGTCACTGATGACGTCATCAGTGATGATGACGATGACGATGCGGATGCCGGTGACGTCGTCAGTGATGATGACGATGACGATGTGGATGCCGGTGACGTCATCAGTGATGATGACGATGACGATGTGGATGCCGGTGACATCAGTGATGATGACGATGACGATGGGGATGCCGGTGACGTCATCAGTGATGATGACGATGACGATGCGGATGCCGGTGACGTCATCAGTGATGATGACGATGACGATGTGGATGCCGGTGACGTCATCAGTGATGATGACGATGACGATGTGGATGCCGGTGACGTCATCAGTGATGATGACGATGACGATGGGGATGCCGGTGACGTCATCAGTGATTATGACGATGACGATGTGGATGCCGGTGACGTCATCAGTAATGATGACGATGACGATGCGGATGCCGGTGACGTCATCAGTGATGATGACGATGACGATGTGGATGCCGGTGACGTCATCAGTGATGATGACGATGACGATGTGGATGCCGGTGACGTCATCAGTGATGATGACGATGACGATGTGGATGCCGGTGACGTCATCAGTGATGATGACGATGACGATGTGGATGCTGGTGACGTCATCAGTGATGATGACGATGACGATGTGGATGCCGGTGACGTCATCAGTGACGATGACGTCATCGGGGGGTCACGCGACCTCGGGGGGGGGGGGTCACGTGACCTCGAGGAGGGGGTCACGTGACCTCGAGGAGGGGGTCACGTGACCTCGAGGAGGGGGTCACGTGACCTCGAGGAGGGGGTCACGTGACCTTGAGGAGGGGGTCACGTGACCTTGAGGAGGGGGTCACGTGACCTCAGGGGAGTCACGTGACCTCGGGGGGTCACGTGACCCCCCACGAGGTCACGTGACCCCGGTGGGGGGGCTCGCGCGGTGCATTATGGGACATTTCCCATGATGCACCGCGCGGTTACGCCGACGCCGCTCAAGCCGGAAACGGGCCCCTAAGAGCTGCGCTCTAAAAACCTTTATACACAGTCCTTAAAGGGATGCTAAACCGAAATCTGGATTCCACAGAACATGCGGCGAAAGCGTGCAACGAGATGCTACAAACACCAGAACATCACTCATACAGCAATATCTCTAACGGATGACCGTATTTTTCAAAAAAAAGGAGGCGCATTTGACAGAAATGTTCACGTCATGTTTCTCAGAGAAGGAGAGGGAACGGCCTCGCGTCTACTCCGCCTCGCCGCCTTGAGGGAGTGAAGCGAAGAGAGGAGGAAACGAGGTAACTCTACGTCACGCACCTCGCGCCTCGTCGGCCTGATTCAATCTTGACCTCTTTTTCCAAAAATACGGCCGTCCATTCGAGATATCGCCTCACGAGTAGTGTTGTAGGGATTGTAGCGTTCACGGCTGCCGCACTCCGTGTCGACGGCACTAAAGCATGTGTTGGATAGGCTGTATGAAACAGGCGGCCAGGGTGGCTCGCATTGCATTTGCTGCGCGATTAGACTAATTTGGCATGACATTTCATTGGGCACAAACGACAGCAAACACGGGTAAAGATCAGTTCAGAACGGGAGACACTTTGCGCTGCCATACCGCCAAACGGCCAAATCCTAAGCCAAACCTGCTCCGAAGGCCTTCGGAACGCTCGGAACCGGTCGGATCCTCAAGCCTGTATACGACCGCAGTGCCGCCGCGTACATCAGGGACCTTTCTACGCTCGCTGCTTGTCGGTGCCTGATCCCACTACCCTTTTCTAGTATGCGCCGCCTTTTCCTTTGCTTGTGGCAGGTATGTTGATGGGTCATTTCTTGTTTCCGTACATTATAAACTGCATTTGTTTCTTTTCTGATCTAAAATACTGAACAAAAACTTTCATAATTAATTTAAATTGTTCGCGCCACTTATATTTTGTATTTCAATTAAAAAAAGCTTTTAGTGGCTTTGACCAGTAGTAAGGACAGGACCTTACTACAGACTCGGTTACCACTCAGATCTGCTCACCATCCTCCAGGTCAGCTGTCCCTCCTCGCTTCCAGGGGAGGTGACCGGGAGGACGGTCTGGCCAAAGAGCTCGTTGACCACGCACGCCTTGGCCCAGCAGCTCTGCCCAAGCACTACCAGGGCCACGGGCTGGTTCACTGCGCTGGCTATGAACTTGTCGTCTGCCTCGTTCAGTCGCAGCTGGGCCAATTGCGCTGCCGGAGAGAAGAGGATGCACGGTTGGCCAAGCCAGACACCAAAACCGGACAACAATATTACTGAGACTTCATATTTTCAGATGCCAACATGCCCTATTGGCACTTTTCTGCAGCTGTGCATGGGCACTGCCATAACCGACTATCACTTTTTCTTCCCTGATGTTCCAATCACTTCACTTCATCACTATGGTAACAGGACAGGTTAATGCTTAAACATTGCCGTGCCCTTATATTCAATGCAGACTTTTGTGTAAATTCATTAGCACTCACGTCAACGACTCGGCATCTCTGTAAGACAAGAAAAGGTCAGCAACTTCCATGCCAACAGTCCCATAACTCCCCTCGTGGCAACACTGCCCGGACTCCCCTCGTGGCAACACTGCCCGGACTCCCCTCGTGGCAACACTGCCCGGACTCCCCTCGTGGCAACACTGCCCGGACTCCCCTCGTGGCAACACTGCCCGGACTCCCCTCGTGGCAACACTGCCCGGACTCCCCTCGTGGCAACACTGCCCGGACTCCCCTCGTGGCAACACTGCCCGGACTCCCCTCGTGGCAACACTGCCCGGACTCCCCTCGTGGCAACACTGCCCGGACTCCCCTCGTGGCAACACTGCCCGGACTCCCCTCGTGGCAACACTGCCCGGACTCCCCTCGTGGCAACACTGCCCGGACTCCCCTCGTGGCAACACTGCCCGGACTCCCCTCGTGGCAACACTGCCCGGACTCCCCTCGTGGCAACACTGCCCGGACTCCCCTCGTGGCAACACTGCCCGGACTCCCCTCGTGGCAACACTGCCCGGACTCCCCTCGTGGCAACACTGCCCGGACTCCCCTCGTGGCAACACTGCCCGGACTCCCCTCGTGGCAACATTCCCCGGACTCCCCTCGTGGCAACATTCCCCGGACTCCCCTCGTGGCAACACTGCCCGGACTCCCCTCGTGGCAACATTCCCCGGACTCCCCTCGTGGCAACATTCCCCGGACTCCCCTCGTGGCAACATTCCCCGGACTCCCCTCGTGGCAATATTCCCCAGACTTTGTCCCTAGGCTTCCTTTTTGACAATATTATCTAGACTTCATATTTTCAGAGCACCGCGCTGTATGACATCAACCGAAGCTGAAAAGGAAGCCTCCTGGTTGGCTGCGGGCAGCCATATTCAAGCGAGCTCAGCCAATTAAATTTGAGTGTAGTCATTGTGGTACTTTACGTTTAAAACATTCCTTCAGTTGCTTCAACTGCGCTGGTCAGACAAAATGATGGACAAAAGGAAGTCGCTTTCAGCGTTCAGTGTGCAATACATCTTGAATTTCTTGCGTTGCAGCATAGAATCAATAATCATATTAAAACAAAGGACTTTCTGGGCAATTAAAACCATCTACCATATTTTTTGGTGTATATGTCACATTTTTTTTTTTCAAACATTTTTCTTGGTGCGTTAATACAACAAAGCAACTTACATGCATTTTTTTTCATAGCGCAATGCCAATTTTTAATGCGCTGTTCGCTGTCTTTTGTAGAGCACCGTAACTATGTAACCATAGGTGGTGTTGCCTCTTCCAGGAAGCACTGCTGTCGCCGCACTCTTCTACACTTCTCATGACTGACTCAGAAAGCGAGGAGTTTGACGGTTTCCTCAAAGTGGCGCAATGTGATAGGAAAGGCAGTGGGAGTGAAGCTTTGCATGTGGATGACGTTACCCAATTCAGTCATGGTTCCATATTCTTTTGCTTTAGTCCAGTAAAACTGAAAGGTAAGTGGGCTGGTACACAGCATTGCAGAAAATTTTCTAGAGTCTTTCTTAGTTTTTGTCTGATGAGCAGTTTTTTTTTTTCTGGCATGCTCCAGCCGTGTTGCTACATGTAAAAGGAAAGAATTTGGCTAGCTGAGCTTTTAGAGGGTAGCCACCTCGGTGGCTCCAAGCCGAGAGCGCCGGCCGACGGATCCCCATGTGGCAAGTTCAAATCCCGGCCGAGGTGCCCGCAATTTGACGGAGGCTTATTGCGGAAAAAGCGCCGTGGTAACCGAGCTTTCGGTTGCACGTCAAAAGATCCTTAATCCTCAGTCCTCCACTGGGGCGTGCCAGATGCCCGTCGTTAGTTTGGCACTTAAAACCTCCAAATTTGACTTTGATCTTTTAGCAGTAGTGAAAGAGGTGTTTTAAGATTTGTCTATTTGCTTACGCGTTGATGCTCATGTCGCCTCCATGGCTTGGCCTAGGCTAGGCCTAGTGATACAAATTTTGTTCATGTATACACTGAAATGAAGCCGACTACCTTCTCATTTTGACGTTTTACGTCCTTTTGTTGCAGAGCACTTGATTGCTTCCACCAGACAGCACTGTTCTATGGGCATTTCTTGCAACTTGACACATAGAGGGTGTTTCGCGTCGAATGATAGATGTGAACTAGCCAATTGTGCGAAACTCCCAATTTCGCTATACCAATCCGCATAAAGAAATAAAATTCATTGCGTTAACCATGAAAAGAGGCGCGACTTATATGCCAACTTTTCTGCAAAAACGGCTCAATATACGGAAGTGTGACTTACAGTCCGAAAAATACGGTAGTCGGTGTGCAAGAGGGTGATGACATAAAGTGAATTGCTGTAAACAATGTTGGTTTCTTTCTTTCGGCAGCTCGATTTGTGCATTTGGACAAGGCTAGAATATTTTTGGGGTACTAAATTTCACGAAAGGGTAGATATCAAAAATCACAATTAACTCCCATAGGGTGGCAAGCTATTCTTAAACAACTAAGCCAATATCATCCTCTGGAGGGTAGCAAAAGTACAGATAAGGGTTTGCATTGGCTTTGCCCGAGGCATTTAGAATGCCGTCCTTGGTGCCCCTTAGTTCGTAAAATTTTGAAGCCAAGTACCACTTAGCTTAGGGTGCAAGCTGCTTGTGACCTCCATCACTGCTACTTGTGACTGCCGCCGAAGCTCGAAAAAGGAGTGAAGAAGCTCTATCTCAATGCTTCTTCAGAGATAAAAGTGCTGTGGTAGCAATCAGGCTCCCCTGTCCCAGCTTTATGGGATGAGCAGAATTACAAGTGTACAGGGGGTATCTGCACGACATACTGTAAACGACCTAGCTATCACGAGGACCCAATTTTCATAAAATTTTGCGACTTGTGAAATATCACGAAAAAATCACGCAAATATTTCGGTTTATGGCAACGGATACAGCGAATATCGCTCTAAATCGCAAATATTGTGCCCGCAAAATATTCCTGAAATGCACACTACGCAAAATATTGAGTAAATACAAACAAATGTTGTTTATGGTATGTACAATTAGCCTATGTGGGCTGCTCTTGAGAGCAACATTGAAGCTGACATCAACTGGAAATATTAAATCTTGTCTTTTCCACTTCAAGTGATGCAAGTTGTGCAATAATGCATAGATACACAGGGAGATCACTTTCCTTAGGTTTTATATTTGAGTTGCTTACAGACTACAAACAAAAAAGAAAAACCTAAACAAAGGTTTGGTTTTCTTTATCCATTTAAACACTTCATAACTTTATGCTCAATATAATTACTTATGGTGGCCTAATCATCACCAGCAACATTACCATCAACCAAAGAAAAAAAATATATTGTATATCGGATTACCAGCTTTCCCAAGTGACAGGCCATGAACACAGCCATCCAAAGTCCACAAAAGATATGGTCTACTGTAAAACCCAACTATCCAAGCCCCTCCCTAGTTATGCAAATATGCCGACTCTCCATTCACAAAATCTCTGGCTATTCATGCCAGTCTCCAGCAGCCAGTGAAACTGCAGCTTAAGAGCTTGATCAGACTTTAAAGGGCCCATGAAACGATTTTTGGGTTGGGATAAATCATTTTAGATTGGTATTTTACTAATAGCACATCGTTCAGTGGACCAAAAGAAAAAAGGTAGAAAGTCAAAAGCCGGACTTTCTGTGCGAAAATCTGAAAACAGAGCGGACTATTTCATACCTCCTCCCCTTCGCAACCTTTCTGCCTTTTCACTGTGATACATCCGCGGTCCCAAAAGCGAGTCATTGGGTCCAAACTGACGTCACACGCAACCGGACCTCACTTATTCCCTTCACCCCTAAGCTGACATTGTGCTGGAAGCTACGCGCTTGCCGGACCAATCAGCCGCCTCCCTTTCATCACCCGACTTCATTCTCTGCAGCCACATTCGCCACGCTCACTTGGCAAGTGTGGCTGGCCCAACGAGCACGTAGCTTCAACAGCACAGTCAGCTTCGAGATAACGGGGTGGGGAAAGCAACTTTTGTCTGAATTTTGAACGACTGGCTAATCTTCTAGGGGGACAATGGCTCTGTCCGGCTACACAAACCAGATTCCGAGCGAGAGCGGCCTCCCTTCTTTTCGTCTTCTTTAACTGTTTGGTGGAATGGGCGATTTATGAGTTGAGGAGGAAAGCTAAACAGGAAAAAGTTGGAAAAGCATTTCATGACCCCTTTAAACTGTATTGATGCAATATTGCCAGATTTTGAAATTATGGTCACAAAAAGAAAGATTTCCAACGATGCTATAAAAACAAGTTGAAACAAATAAGTAATCAGATAGCTAAAATTCCAAGGAAGGTGTCCTTGACATATTGTGAACCCAGACTTCTGCTAGGGCACAAAAACCTAACAGTGAAGTCTCCCTTTCAGTTAATATGGTTCCTCTTGTGACCCATAGCATTAAAAAAACTGCTACATTGTTCTTTTTTAACAAAATAATGCTTGCCTATATTTCTCGAACTCAGTCCCAGCAAAATTTATTTTTGTAGCACAGACTTCAATCTTGCGAAATAAAACAGAGAGGGGCTGACTTTTTTGGTGGAAGTAGAAAAAAGCCTCAGTGAAGAACAGAAAGGAAAGGAAATGAGGATTGCCGAGACTTGGGTGTTTGGGTAGAGGGAGTGTACCACATGAACATAGATGACCAAGCAATGGGCATCTGTCCATTGGCTCGTGTTGGTAGCTTTTCAATTATTTCATCAATA